TTTTTTTGTACAAGGTTTCAGACGTTGCTAAATGTGATTTGAATTCTGCCATTTGTTAGGTTGTTGTGTTAGTCTGTTTGTTCTTTTTTATGTATTGAAACACTCCTGCCAGTATAAACAATTTTCATTGTTAAATGAGCCACACTCTACACCTATACTATGTTACTAAACTGGTCTTTCATAGCTCCCTTTTATTGTTTGAAGTTTTTGCTATTTGAACAATACCATCTCTTCATAGAATGTATCTTATTTTGGCCCCACCAGAGCTTTTACATTAATCAGTATGACAATGTCGCTGATCAGCTTCGGAGTACTTTTTTCTTGTCATTTTTGAAATTCAAATAAATTAGGCCTTTATCCTTGTATATAGAAATACAATATAAATCTACCACAGCCTGGGAAATTTTTCACTGTTTACTAATGTAAATTTCCCTATGCCAATATGAAAATACACTGCCTGGCCTAAAGAGCAGTGATTATATGTTATAGCATGAAGATCATTAAAATGTTCTGCAGGATCTACAGCTCCCACAAATTATGTTGCATTGTTGGTCTAGATTTCTGGATATCTTATTGCTATAACTTTCAAGTTGGTGTCTAAAAAGGGGGATGAAGGTTCCTTATATCTTTTTTCTTTACTATGTCCTATTGATGTAGTTATTAGTCCAAAAATGAATTTCTGTACCTGTGTACAACTTTGGAATTCCAGGTTTGAATTTGCAAATACTACATCGAGGACATGCGACTAATGTATTTTTGACAGCTGTTAAAATGTGAATAATCTGGAACCTCATTCATCTCAATTTGGGAAGTTTTTCACTACACAGAATGGCTTGTTCAAAGGATTCTTCTAGCCTAAACTGAATCCATTATTTACCAGCAGTATCCAATAAATCAACATCCAGTAATAGAGCTTCTAGTGTCTCAAATTTAGATATTTTGCATTTCTTACAGTGTAACACTTTGAGTTTTCTGAATCCCAGTCCAAATTGGTTTTTACATCCAAAACAAACACTTATCCCAAACACCCGAACTGCAATACTTATTTTGACAAGCATTTCACCAACCAAGTGGATGGCAAGTTGGTTGGTAAAACGCGTGTTGAGGAGAGTAATGCAGTTCTGGTGATTGGGAAAACTGCTTATTATGGATTCATTGTACACCAAAGGTTCCAGTTTTATCCTTGGTTTTTACATTGCTGCTCAAGAATCCTATCCTTGACTATGCAAATATATGGTAATGTATATTCCTATTTTTCTATAAATGAGCCCCCTTTTAGTGATCCATCAAACTTCTCCAAATATTTTCCCCCAAATGAACTGCTTTCTTATTCTCGAAAGATATAATATTATCTGTATAAGCGATTCTAAATTCAGAACTATCTTTGACAAGTTTTGAAGGTTCTTTATCGTGTATAAGACAACAGACAACACTGACTAACCTGTTTGGTTTTGTTCATTCCTTTGTTAGTTCCATTTATTGTCCAGTCTAAACGTTATTAGTTATATAATTGGTTCAGATAACCTTGTCCGAGTAACTTATTTGAAAACAATAAGCCTGTAAATATCTTGGCCTATTAATAATTGCGGATACTTTATAGACTCAAAAATATCAAAGGTTAAATGTGTAAATTTTTGACATAATCTCCTAGAAATATTTTCTGATGAAGGCTAAGATTCTCATCGATTCTTTATGTTTCAGTTTTTAGAAACTAATACGATATCTAAGGAAACTATATTATGAGAACTTTCCTCATAGAGACTTATGTCATTAGTCTACTGGAAACATGAATCAGCCAACTTGGGATGAACCGCTAAATCTGTGACCAAAGTCATAAATCCTAGTGCACGTGAAATTGATATTGTTTATTTATTCATGTGTAGGGGTTATCCTCATGAGGAAAAAGGGGATTTATATAGCCAGAATCATCTAAGTATTTTTATATTAATTATGAAGAATTTCACATTTAACTGTTTGAATATTCAATTACTTATAATTTTTATATTAAAGTTTTAAATACTTATTGACAAATTTAATGTTCACTACTCACATTAATTACTTGTGTTTTCTTGTTTGATATTTCATTAATTTGGTAAGTTTGTATCTTTAGTTAATTCAGTTAATCCCTATTCAATAAACATCTAATGTTTTTAGGGATAATAAAGACAATTTCAAAATCATTTATGAACTTCATTTGCGGTGATAATCTACCTCGCTACTGCATCCCGTGTGTTACTTTCTGAGACCCAGTATATTTGTATCAGCATACACAAATATATTTTTTACATTAGAATAGCATTGTAGAATAACAAAAATTGGCCTTGAAAACAAAGACCTGTTCATGAAATTTGGTGTTCTGCATACTTCTTGAGTGTCTAACTAATGAAAAAAAATCATTCTAATCAATGAAAAATATAGCAAGCGATAAACGTGATGGCGAGCGATCGCACAGGTATAGACTCGCCCAACTAAATTACGATAANTAAATGTGTAAATTTTTGACATAATCTCCTAGAAATATTTTCTGATGAAGGCTAAGATTCTCATCGATTCTTTATGTTTCAGTTTTTAGAAACTAATACGATATCTAAGGAAACTATATTATGAGAACTTTCCTCATAGAGACTTATGTCATTAGTCTACTGGAAACATGAATCAGCCAACTTGGGATGAACCGCTAAATCTGTGACCAAAGTCATAAATCCTAGTGCACGTGAAATTGATATTGTTTATTTATTCATGTGTAGGGGTTATCCTCATGAGGAAAAAGGAATATACAAATACAGTAATACCTCAACTAACTTAACTTAAATGTATGTTTAAACGTAGACATATATCAATGTAAATATATAAAATTCAAATAATATAAACTGTAATGTCACAATCAAGATGGTTGGCTTCCATAGTTAGTATGGTGATTAGAGACAGTAAAAAGATCGCTACTCATAATCCTGTGATGATGAGTACGTCAATTAAAAACAAATGCATTGGTAGTTGGTATTATTGATTACTGTGTTGTAATAACAACTTAAAGAATATTAAACATTTTACAGATTTTTATTATCATAGGATGAACAATATAAACTGCACTTGAACTATGATACCAAAATAATAATTTTATTAAATCCGGTAAAAATTGTTTTTTCAATTACAATCACGGCAAACGTATTTTGCTTGAAATTGGTCAATATCAATCACGAGATTCCTAAAATTAACTGAAACACAATCTTTTTTACGTGAATATGGCCAATCAGAATAAAAATCTGTGATAAGCGTGGTGAATTTTTTTCCCAAGATAGTTTTGTTATTTATTGTTTGTCTGTCTTTGACACTGGAGTTTATGTTGCTCAGAAATTGTAGACAACAACTTTTGCCACATAGAAGTTTGTTGAAGAATGTTGAATCGTAAGACAAGCAATATTTTTTGGGAAAAAGCATTTAGACTTAATACTTCTTCATAATTGAACACAATATATACAGAAGTTTCTTTCAGATACAAACTGACAGAAAAACTCTTTCAAAATACCTACTTTCACATGAACATTGAATTACATGAAAATTATTTTTCCCCATTCAGTTTGTATTACAAACATTCGTTATGTAAATGAAATATATATCATTCATAGGAATCTGGTATATGCTTCAGATAGTAACTTTATTCGTGATTAACTAAAAAAACACCATGAAACTTACACGAATTATGTATATGTCTATCTTAACCAAAAAATCTATCGAGCAATGGAAATCTCATTTTTCAAGCTAACATTACTTCCAACCTACATCAATTGACTGATGGTAGGCTTACACCTCTGTAATTTTCTACAGGAGCTTAAACCCTTGATTTGTGAATGGGTGTCTGATGAAGCTATTCTTCAAAAATTCTGAAAACATTTCCGTAGAATGAGGTACACACAGAGAACTTGAGGTACACAAACATTTTTTTGTACAAAAATTTAAAGATTCTTTCAATCAGCGCAAACTCGTTTGTAACTAGTTCAATTTTTCTATGTCCATCAAATTGTATGTATTCATCCTGTATTCCCATCCATTCTTCGAAACTAAAGTGCTCAATCAGCTTTCTGTTGAATTGAAAACTAATTGGCCCATGGTTCTTTGGGAATATCGGATCCTGCTCCAATTAAACTCGCGGTGTCTTCTTGATATCTAATCTCAAACTTAGGTCTTTTGAATCTGTTGAATTGTTTATTTTTTTGAGAAATTTCCTTTTTGCATGTATTACTTACAACTTTTTTAGTTGAATGTTTTCACACTGAAAAAACCTGCGTCAAATTTTCTGAGGTGCTATCAATCATTCAATATGATATTTATTACAAACCGATGGTCAACACCTCCTAAGTGTTGAACAAAATGTCTATATGACTTGTCTAAGCTTATAAGCAGCAGAAGAAGCAGAAGAAAACAATTGTAATGTATTTTTCACTATTCGATTTTGTATTTCTTATTCTACATTTTAATTTTCATTCCGACTTAATTTCATTATTCTAAAAATACACATTTTTTTTAAAGTTCTATGCAATCTACAAGTTGTTATGTACCAAATACTTGTTCTTTCAATCCATTAACGTTTTGCAGAATTGAATAGTATTTGCTAGGAGTTTTGAGTGATGTTTCATGTAGGCAAGACATTTTGGGGACCCAAATGGATTATCGATAATGAAGAGGTAGAAATTCTTAATCTCCTTTGTTCTTGGGTAAAAATTAATGAACAAAATGTAGCCAGTTTCTCCAAAATATGTCGAAACACACCTACTAGGTGTGAAACAAATCATCAACAATTTGAATTTGGTTGAAGATTGTCTTGTAAAATAAAGTATTTATTGGTTCTGACCTAGATCATACAGAGTGTGATATCAAATAAGTTTAGATAGTAAAATTCAAGTGATGAAATAATATGTGCATAATACACATAATAAGTAAATAAATAAATACTTTGAGTATAGGGTACACATCTCAAAATATGTCACAAATCTAGACTCTTCTCAATATTGCTGCGATGAATAGTAAGTAAATAATAAATATATAAACACCAATTCCTTTGAAAACTATTGACAAATCTGGTCAAATATTGCCATCTTGTCAAAGCTTATCAAAGAAATATTTCCTAAACTACATGATTTAGACTGCCAAATCCTGAAAATTCTGACCAATCTGGAAACGTCAAAGATCAAAAAAAATGTCATACATTTTTTTTACAAAAACGTTTAACTGGAACATGTACAAAATCATTTTCTAGAAACTATATGAGATAAATTCATTATGCTTGATCACCAGTTTATTATATTAAAAAAAATCTTGATGAGATTATGTAATTTTTTTTGTATTTTGGCTTAATAATTCTATAATACTCTGAATCCGAGTCTGTCTAGAGTAACTATGTTCCACAAACCACAAACTATGTTCGACAAACCATTTTATACAGACATTCTCAAATAATTCCTCCACACACCCCTATCAGCATAAGGTAGTTGCATTCAATAGTATACTTCACAGACTATGGAATATTCCACTATCGGAAAGTCATTTTCAGAGAGAGCTGAGTTTCATCGAACAAATCGCTGCCATTAATGGCAATCAATGCCAATAGACATTATCGACTCCATTCTTTCCAAAAAAAACTACAAAAACAAGGCATGGACCAGGTCTACCCAAATTCAAGAAAAGAGAACGTCCGCTATAGGACATAATAATATCGCTGTTTTTTTTTTTAAGGAATGCCTGGACGTAGCTTATAGAACAAATAATAGTTTAAGCAAATTTATTGAAAACAATAAAAAACTTCAGTGTCGGATAGATGAGGAGTATATATGTTGATGTTGATTTCTGGCTCTTGCCCACATCAAACCATCTTTTAGCAGAAGGACATGAGTTCAACCATGACTGTGACATGTTACATTTAGAAGAGAGGCGTTTCAAAGAGATTCTGTCATAGAACTTGCCTTTTTTTGTTTCAGAAAGCAAAATATGGAACGACCGCCTCGTAACGAACCTCCAGTGGAACCCGTAAATGGCATAGTCCAACCTGCTGTTCAACCTCCTCCAGACATGCCAGGGCGTGTAACCAATCAGCTGCAATTTTTGCAGAAAACTGTACTAAAGGCTGTTTGGAAACACCAGTTTGCATGGCCTTTTCAACAACCAGTCGATGCAAAGAAACTTAATTTGCCTGTAAGCAATATATTTTTTGTTATCAATTTAATGCTAACTCAAATATTCATTGAACTGCTTGTTTTGAAATAGTTTCATTATTTGTGAATTCAAAAAAGATTTTCAAATGATTTAAAAATATAAAGACATTATTTCATTGTCGTTTGCTTTTAATTGATAAAATTGAATATTTTCAAAATTGTGGCTCTCTTGGAGAATGAATATAAATTACTTCCAATATTACTTACTTTTTATCCACAGGATTACCACAGAATAATAAAACAACCCATGGACCTGGGAACAATAAAGAAACGTTTAGATAACAATTACTATTTGTCGGGTAAAGAGTGCATTCAAGATTTTAATACAATGTTTACGAATTGTTACGTTTACAATAAACCGGGAGAAGATGTTGTCGTAATGGCACAAACTTTAGAAAAAGTGTTCTTGACTAAAGTAGCGGACATGCCCAAAGACGAATTTGTAGTGGAAACACCTACGAAAGGACTCAAGGGAAAGAAGGGAAGAACAAGTACAGGCCCTGCTGGTCCTGTTTCAAGTGTGGGAAGGGGTAGACCACCTGCGACAGTATCTTCAACCAGTGCTACACCAGTGGCTACTACTACAGGTTAGTACACTGAGTTTTCTTTCGTTACACTTTATGTCACCACAATTCGGGCCTTAGTTCTCGCTGTTTTTTAATGTTTTCAGCAAACTTGGATTTCAAGCATAAAACTAGATAGTCGAACTTCGAAAGAAAAGCACCATTACTTATAAAACAAATAAATAAAATTAGCTTTTGGTTTATAAATTGAAAACTGAATTATGATAAACACATCAAATAATTTACGTATTACCCATTATCGAAAAAAATTTCAGAACTTGTCATATACCATCAAGTATTGGATTATTTGGGTTGGAAAACTTTCTCCTACTTGAATCAGTTTAATTTTATTAAACATCAGTCATGTGAATCAGCTTTGCAACTTATTGCTATATAGAAGGTGAAGATGTTGTCACTATGTTTCTAGATGGAAAAAAACATTGGGAAGTCTTATATTTTTCAAATATATCACGACATTCATTCATTTAATTCTTGTGCTTTTTGTTAATTTTCATTGTCCTCAAAACCAAACTCTTGATCTCAACATGCCATTTGATTCTTCCTACTTAATATCACTCACCTTAAATTGAATTTATTTATTTATTTTCCAGCAATTAACTTGTGAAAAAATACAGGAAAATTGTGAAAAATGTCAAAAAGTATAGACAGAATATATTGATGTCGCCAGAAAATAAATTAAACTGATCAGTATACAGACACCAGATTGATTATATGTGATAGGTTAAACATTCTAACTTTCAATAATGATAGTATTAATAACACTTGAAGTTTGAAATGTTCATACAGCTGAATATACCTCAACATCAACATGTAATATGTATTTTTGTAATTGAATATCTTTGGTTTATGCCAGACAACACTTTAATCTTTCGATGCTCATTTGAAATAATACAAAAAACTTCAATTAAAATTTTCAGATGTATCGATATAGTCTAGAGCAGGGGTTCCCAACCTTTTTGCACCTGCATACCAATTGACTTTTTGAGAAATTTTGGCGTACCATCAGACCTAAATATATTAATAAATGTTTTTTTTTTTTCTAAAAGTGTTCAAAGGCTTTGAATTAAATTCCTGAGAAAACTTCATATTTAATGGTTATTTTTAGATATTTGTTTATTTATAACATGCTAAAGGAGAAATAAAAAGATTGAAATGGTATTAATTTACAGTTTTATTCTTTGTTCTGCTTCTATGTTTTTTTTTTGTACAAGAGTTCAGAAAATCCACTCTCCCACAAGTAACTTGTAGCAAATGGCATCAAAAATAACAGAGATCAAAAGTACTTGATTTTACCTCCCATCCAGAAGTTAATTAAAGATTTTTTTAAATGATCTTTCATGGATCTATCTTCTGTAAGATCGATAAAACTTTCTATTAGATTCTCGAATAAGGATTTCTGATCCAGTCCACTTTTGAGTAATCTTCAGAGAAATACTTCTAAAAGTTTTTTTTGAAGGCCTTTGAAGTGAACAATGTTATTTGCAACCACATCTGGCATTGGAGATATTTCATTTTCTTCCAAAAATTATGATAGAGTGGGGAAATGCAGATAAATTCTCCTGTATTTGTGAACAAAACAGGATAAACTTTCTCTTGAAGGAGTTTATTTTGTCACTGGCTGTGAAGTATGTTGTGTTTGGTTCCTGAAGTCCCAAGTTCAGTGTGTTGAGTTTGTCAAAAATGTCGGCTAGATAAGCCAATCTTGACAACCATTCTTCATCAGCAAACATATGTCATGATTTTTTTCACTTCAAAACAAAAACTTCTGATCTGAGTTCAAAAAGATGGTTCAAAATATTCCCCCAAGATAACCTGAATATAATGCAGTTCAAAATAATGACATTTTTTTTCTATCCCAGTAAAATGTTTTATCACTGTTTCTAACCTTGGCTTAAACTATTGCATCAATATTATCCTAATTGGCAGTGGAAGACAACATCGGAAAAATTCCATCACCTTCAGAATAGTGATTTTTTTTTCGAAGTATTTTTCTCAAAATAAGGCCCTAAATAAGTTGTCTGCAGTCAGCAATCTGAAGTCTAAGTTGAACCGCGTCTGATGTTTTCAGTTGTTCGATGTTTCGGCTCGACTTTGAAACAATTTCCAAGATGGTATGACTATACTGAGATCTCAATCTGCCTACTCTTCAGGTAGTGACACGCTTCGAGGGTTTTGTAACGACGCCTACACCAGTGACGAGATCTGGGGAGGAGGCAGGTTGATACCCCGCCGTCAAGTTACAATACCCTTCAAGCATGCCACTACCTGAGAAGTAGGCAGATTGAGACCTCAGTGTAGTCATACTTTTTTAAAATGGCTTCAAAGTCGAAGCCGAAGTGTTTTGTATTGAGTAAATAAAATGAATGAATAAAAAAATAATTAATATTCAGAAATATATGGACGTGGCGGGATCTTTAACTTTAAAGACCTTGCTAAACCACCAAATATTTTCCCTTCAATATTTTATTGATTTATGCTTTTAGACTTATATTCTTCACTTTTATTATTTTGTAGTAAATGATTTGAGCTTGTATCTCCAAACAAAGATTTCTGTATTTGTAGTATTTGAAATGGTGAATTAAAGTTATCACTTCGCTTTCTCTGGTCTCCTGTTATTTCTCTCGATGGTATCTGAACTAACTGATTACTCGTCGCCTCATGTAAACTTTACAGTTATTGCCTTTAATGATAATAGATGGAATACTATAATATCAATAATGTAATGAAAATTTGCATTTAGTTTTGTAAAAATGAAAAAATTGGTAACCTACAGTTGAAAGAACAATCCAAGTTGGATTTCTCAATTTAAAAAATTTAAATAGTTGTGGATACAAAAATAGAAATAATCAATCTCTGAGAGAATATTAATAGCTTACCTATCAATGTTATGTATAATTCAAGAAGAAACAAATTCCATATCTTATAATGAAATTCATTAATCGATTTGTCGTTTGTTACAGGATCTTTTCCATGTTTTGAAGATTTGTAAAGTTGTATCAATTTACAAAAAGGAGAAATCAGAAAAACTATAGACTTGTTTTTCTCAAATTAAAACAAAGCTGTTTTTAAATAGCTCATTTATTACTGCGATGTTTTTTTGGTCCTGTAGTGTGTCAGTGAAAACCCTATTCCGATATTTTAAGATATCGCTAAGCTATTCGCCTGCATATATCATGATAACTTCATATGTCAAAATTATACTTTTGCGGCAAAGAAGGTGGTGTTTCATATGATCGGACTTTTTCGTTTCTGAAAAAAAAATTGGCTGTAATATGTGAGTATTAAAAATAGTCTGTGAAAATTGTCATACCCCCATTCAAGCAACAATTCATAACAGATACTTAACATTCATTACTAAAGAAAAAATGTTATTCAGTAAGTTTCTCAGTTCAAAAATGGACCAAAAAAATTACAAATTGAGTAAATAATTGGTCATTACAATTTCCTATAAATAATTGAGAAGAGAATAACAAAATGTTAGTGGATCAATTGCTTGCTGTCAGAAGCAATAATGATTTAGGCAAGCAACACGCCACCTTGTGTTCACAGTATTATGCTTAGTTTATAAAATATTCAATTTTCTCTTCAATGTTCAATAAGATTAGGGCAATGAAAGTATCTTTCTAGGTTGAAGAGACGCAATTATGTCAATTTAAATATGTTCATTTTTCAAAGAGGTTGAAAATAGTATTGTGTATAGGTGTTGTAAGTAATGTTTTTTCATTTTAAAATATTTTTTACAGGTTCCTCCGGCCTGCCTTTGGGAACTCAGGCTCCGGCAACTGTCCCTGGTAGCACCGCCACCACAACGATAGCTCCTGCTACCACTAATAGCTCTCTTCCTTCTCAACCTCCAGCACAACCTTCCAATTTTCATGGTGCACCCTCCATAGTTAATTCTTTAGATTCGAATGTGAATCCGGGGGTGCTACCGGGAAGTGTTGTACCTCCTTCACAACCAGCTAAGGTGAAAAAAGGGGTGAAGAGAAAGGCCGACACTACGACACCCACGGCTACTGCATATGATTATGCACCACCGTTGGAGTCAAAGTCGGCAAAAATATCAACAAGACGTGAATCAGGTAGACAGATCAAGAAACCGGTAAGGCCAGAATTGGATGGCCATGTTCCCCAGCCAGCATCACAGAAACTGAAAGAGAAACTTTCTGAATCTTTGAAAGCGTGTAATGAAATTTTGATGGAATTGTTCTCCAAGAAGCATGCTGTAAGTTAATAAATGTAGTAGTACTTTGTATGTTATCTTTTCTGAATTATGAAGTTTTTGTATGTTGAGATTACTAAAACTGTTTTAGTCATCTGATGATAATAACTTTGTTAGCAAAACACGCCTTGAAAGACAGCATTTTTTTTCTAATTATATTAATAAAATATTGATTTAAATCAGATATTATATTAATGGTTGTTTTTAGTGTGTTACAACAGTTATTCAGTTTTAGTCGCACAAAATTTATTTTGAAAAAAGGTTTCTTATTTAAGGATGTTATAATCTTCTGATGCCACATCATGCAATGTACAAGTGTCTCAGTATTAATGTTACAAGAAGACATTTTATTTTAAGATTGTGGAATTAGGCCCTGCTCGATTAAGAATGAACTCCAATATTATTTTTGCTTTTGAAAAAAAAAGTGGATGTTGACGGTGAAGCGAAAACCATTTTCTCATTAGATTTTTTGAGTTTGGAAAAAACTGATGTAAGTGACATGGGTCTATAGTTATTCATTATATTTTTTTCTTTCTTTTTGTGGAGTGGAATCATTTTCGCTATTTTGAGAGCGTCGGGAAATATGCCTGTTCTAGTGAAAAGTTTATTAAGTGAGTTATAGGTTTCATCAAATAATTTTTGAATTCTTTTATTATATTGTTAGGTAAGTCATCAGGTCCAGACGAACATTTATTTTTGAGTTTAGAGAATATATTTAGCATTTCTTCCTCGGTGAAAGGAAGTACAACCATTGAAGTAATATTTCTGTTGAGGCTATGATCAAAGTTGTTTCAACCTGTGGTATATCATCTATAACCTGTTTGGGAACACCTATGAAAAAATTTTTGAACAGATCTGCAATGTCATCAGGACAGGAGATTTCTTTATTTTCATGGGAGATTTTTATATTGGATGATTTGGGTTTCTTATTATTTTTCAGTTTATTGATAACTGTCCAGGAGGTTTTATTTTTATTTTCAGATAATTGAATTAATTGGTTATAATGATATCTTTTACAAGTTTATGGTGTTTACGTTTTTGTATTTGATATAGATCTTTCAAAATAGGGCAATTCTTCTGAAGAATATACATATCTTTCAACTGTACACTCGACCTTTTGATTTCATCGGTTGTCCACGAATTTGGTAAATTTTTGAGGATTTTTTTCTTCATTGGAAATATCCTAAAGAAATGACTTTGTAATGTATTTGAGAATTTTTCATATTTTTCATTGCATGATAGTGCATCATATGTTTCGCACGAAGATTCATTTTGTAAAATTTGGGCAAAGGGTATTTTAATTTTATTGCAATAGTCTCTGAAACAATTGACCTCTTCAATATGTTTACAGCATAACTTATGTGAGTTGATTTTAACAATTATTGTACTATGATCAGAGAAGTGGTTATCCATAACATATGTACGTGCTTCAGCGTTAGTAAAAATATTGTCAATTTTTGTACTAGAACTTTATGATATTCTTGTATCCTGATAAACAATACTATGAAGGCCGTATTGTGCAAATCTATCAAGTAGTTACTCTCGTTCATGTGAAAAGATGTTGAAATCTATATTAAAATCACCTAAGACCCATAAAAGTGAGTTTATGCTAAATATTTGGTCTAACATTTCCTGAAGTTTCTGGCATAATAAATGGAAGTTTCCTGTTGGTGATCTATACATTGTAAATATTTTATGAGTTTCAAATACACATCCACAACATTCAAAAATTTTTTCAATACTTAGGTTGTTAATATTTAAAGGAGTTGTCACAAGTTCTTGTTTTGCCCACAGGGCAGTACCACTACCCTTGTACATACTGCGACAGTATGCACTCGCAAGGTTATATTCATCAATTGAAATATTACTTACTTCAAAGTCCTTTAACCATGATTCTGTTACTGACAAAAACATTGGTTGGTGAACGGAAAGCTCTACTTCAAGCAAACTCTGCTTGCTCCTTATACTTTGCATTTTTGCATATAAAATGAAGTTTACATTCCTTTCGTTACTATCATCAATATTTTTGCTTTTGCTATCTATAAAAAATTTATGCTATTCCTTTGAGCATCCGTATACTGCCTACAGCGCCTGAAGTCAAATCTCTTGAAACCTACTTCTCTGGGCCAAAATTCTGGTGTATATAATTTTTCTTTGTCGGAGAAATCAGCTCCAACCATGAAACATTTCAGTTGGCTTGAATCTGTTTGCAGCTCTTGAACTGTGACATCACTATTTTCTTTCCCTTCTGGTTCCTCCGGGTGAAGCTTTTTCGATATGAACTTTTTTATTTGGGTGTCGTATATGTTTCTGGTTACTCTGTATGGGTATAACCATACTTTCGGATTTGCCCCTGTAAAGTCGGTTTTATCTTCACTGATGCCAATATATTTAGTTGGATTTCCTGATTTTCAATTTATGTTGTTATGGCGTCGACCGTTTCTACTCTTAGGGTTTACAAATTTTTTTCCATTATCACCATCACGGCCAGCGATACCAGTAGTTTCCCCTTGATATATGTTTTCATTCATCAAACTCACTTGTTCTAGTTCGATCTTACTAGGCATCACTGTTAGTTCAGGTAAATCATGTTTGTTCACAATTTCTTGGACAGCTGGGGATTCCTTACTGGGTAAAAAACTTGCAGGTGTATAAGTTTTTTTTACACGTTGACTGGATTTTGTTTTGTTCGGTTCATTTTTCATTGGTGGCTTATCTGTTGTGTTTTTATAATCCTTGAGTTTTTCTTCTAGGAAGACTGGATTTTGTTTTGTTCGGTTCATTTTTCGTTGGTGGCTTATCGGTTGTGTTTTTATAATCCTTGAGTTTTTCTTCTAGGAAGTGTGCATTTTGTTTCAATAGATTTTTATTTTCAAATAATAAATTGTACTTATCTTCTTTCTCTTTAAGCAGGGCTCTTAACATATGGTTTTCCATTTCTAGGTTTTCACATTTGTTGAGTTTGTCCTTTTTTGCGTCACTTACTAGGTATTGTTTTTTATCTAGCCCATAGCACTGATGGAATACATTTCCACAAACAATGCAAATTATAGATTTACTTGGCTTTGTTTGGCAACATTTATGCGCCTTTTCACCGAAAATTTCATCTTTTAGTTGGATGATTTCTTCAAGCTCTCGGTTCATTTTTCATTGGTGGCTTATCTGTTGTGTTTTTATAATCTATGAGTTTTTCTTCTAGGAAGTGTGCATTTTGTTTCAATAGATTGTTATTTTCTAATAATAAATTGTACTTATCTTCTTTCTCTTTCATCAGGGCTCTTAACATATGGTTTTCCATTTCCAGGTTTTCACATTTGTTAAGTTTGTCCTTTTTTGCGACACTTACTGAATATTGTTTTTTATCTAGCCCATAGCACTGTATTCTAGAATCACATATTGTAGCATTGTAGCACTTGAGTTTGTTTTTCATCGCACATGAAAGATGGAATACATTTCCACAAACAACGCAAATTATAGATTTACTTGGCTTTGTTTGGCAACATTTATGCGCCTTTTCACCGAAAATTTCATCTTTTAGTTGGATGACTTCTTCAAGCTCGTCGTCAGAAGACGCCATCTTGAATTATCTATCTATTACCATATTTTCTAAATATGTAGTAGGTAAGCAATTACCAATAAAAGGTTAATGAAGTGAAGACCCAGTTTTTTGTACCTCCTTGAAATTTTTTGCAACACTGGATAGTAATGTGTAAATTGATCTTGAGGATTCACCCCCCCACAAGGTGTTTTCCTGGAAAATATATCTGGTTCATCATGTTACTGAAATGATCTAATAAGGGTCTGACCTTATAAAGTTGATCTTCCGGTGGTAGATCATTAGCCTCTGGGTTTTTGGCAAAAATGTAAACAACGCAAAATGAGTAAATAGCGGTCACAACTCATGTGTACTCATATGCAAAGTTGACCCCAAAATTATACGAAATTCAGGAAGTGTTGGATTCTTCCACTCTGTGATTCTTGCAAGTTTCTTTCCACTACCCGTTGCCAGAACATCAATAGCATACAAATTAGATTGTGAAATTATATCTTCCAAAAACTCATCCGTAATTAACATTTTAAACCAATCATATGGATGTCCACTAAGCTGCCACTGAGTGTTGTCATCATCTGGTATGACAACTGCATCCGCAGAAGTCACATCATCTAACAAAGAAGTTGTGGTTGGCGATCTCTCAGTAATTTCTTCAACATCACCAGATATGATAAATATATTTATCATGCACAAATAAATAAAACCCCTGAATTTTCTACATACAGTCATCCGTTTCATGATTTTCTACCAATTCTTCACTTTCGGAGAGATCTACATCTGAGTTATAAAGAAATTCCATAATTTTCTCAACGGAAAAGTTTTTTAACAGTAATTTTTTACATTTGTTTGTATACCTTGAGGGTCCTGGTACATTCAGGTAATCCATTTCAAAGAAAGAACACAAAAAATAAGCACAGTGCTCAAATAAATGAATCGTATTAGATACAGTGGTATTATTATGCCTTCTGTAAACCACTAGCAAACCAATGCCACCTAGGAACGAGCAGTTTATTTATCTGAGAAATTAATATAGGAATCTTCTCCACATAAGTTCAAATATGCAGAAAAATTTTCATAATCTAGTCGTAAGTGGGGGATTTTCTACGAATTCATTATAATTTACAGACTCAAGCGCGCCATCCGCATATATCTGTACCTAACTAAGCCGCACATGTGCGCTTTCCGCATTGATAGTGTTAACCTGAAAAGATAGTAGTTTAATTGAGGTATTTAAATTTTCCTGAAATTTTGTTTAGAACCACAATTTCTCATCGTGATCAACTTTTCCCAGTATCGTTTTGACATATCAAAAAAAAAAGTATACATTACCTGAAAATAAAATTAAAGATAGAACAAGGAATTTTGCCAAAGTGGAACTCTCTCGAATGATATAAATGAACCATGAAAAACTTGAATGGAAGATCCTTACAGTTTTATAGAACAAAATGCATCATTTCCCAAAATTTTATATTATGTGTTCTATTCGGACCACGTTACCTTCCGTTGACATTTTGAGTTTGATCATTCAACACCGTGTGTGTGATTGAAAATGTATTAGGAATCACACGTTAAAAGGTAAGACCTCGATAATCCTTTGCTCGCACAAGTTTCGACTTCTGAGGGCTGTCGTTCGTAGGGGTGCGACAGCTGGTTAACGGAAAAACAGATTTTTTTTAACTAGCAAAAAGTATATAACCCCCTGTCATTGCCCATTAGGAAATGAAATAGTTTCGAGTTATTCAGGAGAACAGTCGAATATCTTATACCAACCCATTATATATCGCCAGTCCACCGGTGGTCATTGAAAAACAAAAATAACGTTGAATGATCTAGAGAAATAATTTCAACAAAAATACCGAAAAATTAAAAACAAGAACAAGGGGTTAAATTGGCTGTGTCCATAGTAGGCATAGTCACTACAGTCTTTAATACTTTTTATGGTATTTATTTGAATAGTATAACTATTGAAAACATTCTTTTAGTAAATATGTAAAATAAATCTACTCTACTATTCCACTTTCCATGATGATTTAACAATGCAAAAATTGCTGCCAGTTTTTATAACTTTTCTTGCGTTTAAGTAATAGTGGGCAGTTGCTTTGGTGGCATAGTCGACAATTTCATATACTGAATATGAGAAGAGCAGAATTTAAAGAGATTAGAATAATAAAAAACGAAGTCTGTTGATAAAGTCCCAAAAGTGTTAGTTGAATTCGTCTAATAACAACAAAAATGATCCAACATGTTTCCTATCTATAATATACTTTCTCACTCATTAATTTTCCACAATAATGTTTAGAAATTATCATATTAAATGTTATTCTCCAGACTCGCCAAGTACTCATTAGTAAACCCTGAACAAATTCATGCCGTTTTTGAACAAATTATAAATTGATTATGTTAAGAAACTCAGCAACATTTTCTATGGTATGAAAATAGGTAATCATGTCAATCAATTGAGAAACAAAAGTAAAGAGAATCTTGAACGGGGTAGTGAATTAAACGCAAAAAGCCTTGTTTATAATGTACAATTTGCTGTTTGTTTATTTATTCATATTTTGCTAAATCAAATTACTATATATTTTAATTTTTTATGGATTACTTGATAAGTGAACAATATAATTTTAAAATTTGCAAAAAACAAGGAATAGAGAGCAAACCAAGAATACTGATAAAATTATAATCTTTGTATTTATACATCATACAAATGTTGAATTAGATTATAGAACACATTTTTTTTTAATGTTTTTTCTTGCAGAATTATGCTTGGCCATTTTATCAGCCTGTTGATGCTGACTTATTGGGGTTACATGACTATCACGATATAATAAAGAGACCCATGGACTTTGGCACAGTCAAACAAAAAATGGATAACAGGGAGTATCGTACTCCACAAGACTTTGCTGCCGATGTTAGACTGATTTTTACCAATTGTTATAAATACAACCCTTCAGATCATGATGTAGTTGCGATGGCTAGAAAACTACAGGATGTATTTGAGGTTAAGTAAGTATGATTACATTTGTAATAATGATGGTGAATAATGTGACAATAGCTTCATATTTAATTTTTTTGTATGGCTCAATATTCATTTGTTGAATACTTGCTTGCAGGTTTGCTAAAATCCCTGACGAACCACTAAATAGGATAGGTGGTAGTGCTGCAGTATCGACTTTAGCTGTAAAATCTGAATCCAGTAGTTCTGGTTCAAGTTCGGAGTCATCGAGTGATACAGAGGATTCTGAAGAAGAAAAGCGGAACAAACAGTTGAAGTTATTAGAAAAAGAAGTTAGTTTGTTTCTAACATATTTATTACTGGGTGTTTTTCAACTGTTCAGAATGAAAAAAGTTCATTCTGAACAGTTGTTTTCGATTCTGAGGCTTTTGATTCTGAAATGGACCACTGGACAAGCAATTCATCTTCCTATATATTATATTGTCTTACGTTTTTTCCAAAATAATGTAAACGGCCGTATATAACCGGATAACTACCTATTTGAACAAGGATTTCGACCTAATGTTCGGTGGAGACGTCCGCGGACATAAATAGTCTGTGTTTTCGAGTAATCATTAGTTTTATCAATTTAAAGATCTGCAAACAAAAGATAAATATCATAATTTCAGGAAAATATTGTTCAAAACTCACTCCAGTCATTCCAATAAATGTTCAAAATGTTTCTATTCACTCCCTGATAATAATGAAGTCTGTTGAAAAAATCGTCCGGTATTGATGAAATTCCTGGTCATGTTATTAAAGATTGCCAATGTGATTACTGAGCTTTCGACTCATATAGTTAACTCTACATTCATTGGGGCGAGGTTTCCTGATATACTGAAAATGTCAAAGGTTTTGCCAATATACAAAAATAAGGGCTCTCGATCTGACTATGCATCTTACAGGCCTATATCGCTACTTAGTCAGTTTTCTAAAATTATTGAATACTGTTTCTATCAAGATTTTATGATTACTTTGAATCACACAGATTATTTTCTTCTAGTCAGAATGCTTATAGAAGAAATGAATCTACAGTTGGTGCAATTGATCAACTCATTAAACATGCGCTGGAAATCTTGGAAAACAAACGACAGACTCTAGGACTATTTTTTGATTTGAGCAAAGCCTTTGATCTCATTGACCATAACATACTGTTACACAAATTGCAGTTTTATGGTTCATGTGGCTCTGCATTGAATGGGGTTAGATCTTACCTGACTGATCATAGTCAGTTGGTCTATGTGAATGGAATGAATTCTGAAAGAAAATGTATATCAAGAGGGGTACTTCAAGGCTCTGTTTTGGGACCCCTTCTATTTTTGGTTTTCATAAATGGTGCCTCTAGTTTTTTTCATTGATTTTTTTAGCCTCTGTGATAACAAATTCAGCTTTGTATTTACATGTGTTTTCCGTCCGTTGGTGCAAAATCAACAAATAAACTGACTAGCTCATGATAAAGAAAGAGGAAATAATTAAAATGGAGTTTTTATCGCACAGAAATATTTGTAATAGTAAAATAAAGTACCATAAAACCAATTGATTATTACTTTTCTCAGCATCAGTATTCTTCCTAACAGGAATCTCTACCGTCTATATCAAAATCCAATTACTTCAATTTGTCTAAAAATTCCACTTTTGTTATCTTGTTTGACTGTATTTTAGTTTTTTGAGTTTTGAGGAACCTGTAATTTGAGATCAAAAAGAAAAAAACTAGAACGGCCAATACATGTTTTTAGATTATGTTCTTTACAACAAGTTTTCAATCACAATCGTTTTAAAATTGTTAGTTTTGAATTTGTTATTGAAGAAGTGTCAACTGTGTTAAATATAATTTATTATATCACTACTTTAATCTTTCTCATGATGATCATGTTTAGCTGACAGAAATGAAGATTACAATAAGAGCTTTTTAACACTGATATTTGCCATCTTCCTCAGTATCATTTGGAAATGAGTAACTCTCCACAAAGTTTTATTATACTTTTTTCCAGCTGACGGCAATGCAGGAAAAAATGAAGAAACTCGTTGAGGAAAGCACGAAGAAGAAAAAAGAAAAGAAAAAGACCAAGGTGAAACCGAAAAAACCTCCCGCAGCAGCATTGCCAAATAGTAGTAGCAGTATTGGTAAGCCTGGAGCGCACGGGGCTCTAAACAAGCCCAACTCCCTTGCAGACAGCGTTGACGACAGCATCGCCAGTGTTGTGTCGGGGGCTGATCTCAAGATTGCCGCCGAGGCACATCATCCGACGGCCAACAAGTCTCTCAACATGCACCACAACATGGCGGCTGGCGCCAACGCTTCTGCCCAAGCTAAAACTCCTAAAAGTAAAGGTGAGATGTAACTTTTATATATCGTTGCACTAAAATGGATAGTTTCGTACTCGCTCCTGTTAATCCAGCTTTCAGTTGCCTTATATAATTTAAATTGCATGGACTAACATGTTGCTTTATTTTTGGAGTTGTTGCTTTGGTTATTTTATCCAATTTTAGTTGATTGCATTTTTTTTAAAGCAGCCAAGTTTATAATTGCCTGCCTTTTCAAAGACAGTCTATAAAGTATTACCCACTACCCAATATTCCCAAATATTGAAAACTGCATAAATATCAAATTGTTAGGGGTTTCTGTGGACAATAAACTAAAATTTGTGAACCATATTTTGGACATGAATAAAAAATTAGCTTATGGGTAATTTTCTGTTGGGCTGGTTTCTGGTGAACTTGGGTCCTCAGCTGCAAAAGCGGTTTATTATGACTTGCTTGAATCCCATTTACTCCTAATATATAACATCCAACAATATTATTCAGAGCACATTGGTTCTACAAAAACAGGCTGTGGGGAACATCAAAGACTTTGATACCCTCACAGCTGGTTCAGGACCTATATATGGAGTTGAGGATCCGTTTTTGGGACACTCATCAGTTTTTTTGTTGTCTGTGATACCTGAGTGTCCTGGCACCCAGTATATAGTCAATCTATTCTTCCAGTTTCCTCAGTTCTTCACACAGCCTTCCTAGCCTGGCTGTCTATGAAAATATTGATCCACTCATTTTGTTGAGGCCTCAAATTGAAGTGTCTTGCGCATTGCAAGATTGCATACACTTTAGTCTGAAAGATTGATTTGTACTGTCCGAGCCGGTTAATGAAAAGGAGATTTATCCCTATACAGTAAATTCCGTAGGAATTGCAACGGGTTTAAAACTTCAACCTCAATGTTTATGTCAATAATTTATTCGTGGCTTGGTGAATTTTCCAGTCTGAATTGGTTCGACTTGTGATTGCATTACTAATTTTATAGCCAGGTTTGAATTTGGTAACACTAGATTCAAAGTAATGATGATTCACTATTCAACCAACTGATTGGTACAACTCCTCAAATTATTTGACTGATGAAAACAACAATTTTGACAGGAGCAAAATTAGCATGTATTCCACAACTCACTCCTGTTATTCAAAACAATAATATCGCCAAAGAAATTTTTTTCAGCGATTTATATTGGTTGAATTAATTGACAATTCAATTTTTTACAATTATTACAAGAGTATATGTTTTTGGAAAAAAATATAGAATTCTTTGAAGCAAATGTAATCTTATTAATCTCTATTTTATATTCAATTCATCAAATTTGTGATACCAGTCAAAGTAGAAAGCATGCAACATAGATAAGTAGAGCAAATATTTTCAATATCACTGGAGTTAACTTTTCAAAAGTAGTTTTAGGTTATACTATAACAATTTTCAATTGAAAGTGATTCATTAGTAACGTCGCACTTGAAGTGATCAATGGATAATCCTCTTACCAACTCTGCAGAGGCGTATTCATTTAAAAACATAGGTAATTACGTAAAAAAAATTATAGTAGGTGGCGCTACCTGGTGTCAACGGTAAAAATGATTACATTTTCTTATTATGTCTAATACAGTACTTCAAAAAAACAAAAACAATTACGAAATAATTATTATGTTCCTTTTATATAGAAAGAGAACTACAAAGCAAAGAAATAATTACCTATGTTATGCTTATGAAGTTTCAGAATCCATTGACTCATCCGAAGAAGAATGCCCAGTCACACTTAAATCTATTATTATTTGGTCGAAAACAGTGTCTACCATCCAGTCCAATCTCCACATTTTCTCTTCTTCCTTGATCACATGGGCTACAGCATTAGCCCAATCTTCTTTCCGTATCCGTTCCGAGTTCTAATAAACGTTGGACATCAGAAATTTTATGTCACGTTTTCACGAGCTACGAAATCATTNCCTGAGAAGTGTTGATCAGTTTACCGATGTTTCAAAGTATTTAACGAACTGGTCCACCTATTTGCTCGTACATCCTATCGATATTCAGAAGGTATCTTGTTACGGGAGTCAAATTTTATGGAATCATCTTACTTTTCGATTATTTACAATGGCAATGCATAGACAATAAAAATGACCCCGGTAAGAATTTAGTTCTAACATTTAAAATTGTTGCAGTTAGCTCTTACTTCAATTTGTATATGAGTTACCTTCAATTGAAAATTGTTATACTATAGTTGCACTATTTCTTACTATTGTAGTATACCTATTATTTGGCGATTGTTTTGAACCAGTACGTAGACTATTGTAAAAGTTTCTGTAAAATAGAGTAATGATAAGAATTGTGTGATGTTCCTATCTTTTTGTGTTTGTTTGAATTCGGCTACCACTGTATGGGCATTGATTTTTATACCTTATAGTACTTAAGGTGACCCTTCTAAGAAACATGCTATTCAATATTGATCATTGAAGTTAAGTGAGATTTTTCCTTGGGAGTCTGAGTTTGAGGTTTATTGGAAGGAACATTGCATTTTCTGGGAGATTTTCAGAAAATTTCTTGGAGCTTATTAACATTGTAGTTCTGCAAAGTATTAATTCACAATCCTTTGTGATGCTGTTTTATATGAAAAACGTTTTAAACGAAGTTTCTAGTATTATACTTGTATTAGGTTATACCAGAAATTATAAAAAAGTCATCTACAAAAATGCACTCTTTCTATGATATGTGATCTTGCAGTGGTTTCATCTTGATGAACATGACAATGACCAAATTATAGCAATTCCAAAATCACTCATTTTGATTTCTTCAGCAGCCTAAGAATATTAGGGTGTGAATAATATATTTATTTTCATAACGATAATATTTTGCTAATTTTAAATTTTGTTTCGTTAATGTAATATTTGAACTAATATTTGAGTTGGGGTAAATTCTGAGCAATAATAGTTATGCACACCTTTACATAAATGTTCAAATAATGTCATTATTTTGAATTTTACTACATAAAGACTACCTCACTCGAAAAAGGGCAATAACAAATTCTATTCTGAAGGTATATTCTTTTTCTTAAAGGTTTAAGAGGTAACAAACCTGCAACTACTCCCAGTGCCCCACCTAAACGAGTGAAAGCAAACAATAAGGCTGGCCCAGGAAGGAAAAAATCTGCAGCCCAACCACCTCCAGCACAGTGTGAATCTGAGGAAGAGGACAACGCGAAACCTATGTCTTATGATGAAAAGCGTCAGCTGTCATTGGATATTAATAAATTACCAGGTATTACTATGAATTATAACTTTAGGTCATTAATCAGCCTCTGAATTGGCAACAAAATTACATTCAATTGTGGATGGTGAAAATACCCAAAAGAGGTCAATAAAAAACTGATTTTCCTTCACAAAAAATGCCTTGTTCAATATTTAAAACAAATATATATTTCAACCCGAAGTGCATCCAAGTCTGGGATCTTGAACCCTATACATTTTTCTAGATTATTCGATAGAGAATTTCCAAATTAATGTGTATACATTGATTGAAAATTATTTTTGAAGAAAGCCCTAGTGTGTTCAACAAGTGCTGATATCAATGTTAATTGGCTGATTCGTACATCTGAATATGAAAGTTAACTATGTTTTGAGTTGTTCAATTGTGAATTTGTGGAAGTGCTTTTTTTGCGAGATTATTAGGACCGAGAAATTGATGAGAGGTGAATAAAATACTTCCACAAATGTGACGTACAAGAAACCACATTGATTTGTTGAATAATTTGTCTTACTGTTTGACCTAGTTAAACGGTTTCATTTAGCTTTAGCTTGCCTTCTGGTGAAACCGATATACCAACAAACTTAATGAAACTATGTATAGACTCAGAATGTGCTGTAATTTTCTACATAATGAACAACTCATTTAGATATGGTATTTTCCCCCAGAAATTAAAATTAACTAATTACTCCAACTTACAAAAAAGGAGATTTTGAGTTATTTGAGAATCACTGACACATTAGTGTGTTACCTTCATTCTCTAAATTGTTTGAAATAGCTATGTGCTATGATTAATGAATTCACATAAAGTATTGTCAATGCATTCAAGAAAGAAAATATACTAGGAGGATTTTTTTTAGATCTCTCTATAGCTTATGACTGTTTGAATCATGAATATTTGTTAATTGAGTTGGAATGATATGGAATAATGCTTTAGAATGGTTCAAATCTTATTTAAGTGACCGAAGACAAAAAGTAAAAATAGTCTCAGATAGTATAGTTGGTAAGTCAGATACAAAGAAAAATATAGGCATGCCACAGGGAAGCACAACGGCCTATATATTTTAGGAGGCTATATTCATGAGCGCGTTCATTGGCATACACACAAAATTATTATGCAATCGAAATTGGAAAACGCCCCAACTGCCTCAACAAGCGAGATGATTCGCAGAGACTACCACAAACATAGAGGACATTGCTGTCACTCAAGATACCTGAAAATAACTCAGGTACCCGGTCAGGCAAACCAGATACCTGCTACAACAACATAAATATGGGCCCCGAACAACAGAGTAACCATTGCGAACTTAGAGTGGTACACAGCAAACATAGAACTAGTAACGAGACTTGGGGGACAGCATATTAATCTATTTTCCATTAGTTTTCACAGAACAAACTATGGTAGGTTTTCTTCTATGGTTGGATCTCTATAGAGTTTTTGAATAACATTTAAGAATACTCTACCAAGGATACTGTAAAGTGTTATAATTGCTGTTATTCTAGACTGTAGATACCTAAGTAATTTTAATTTATTCATTTATACAGGTTATCCCCATTACACAATATACACAGAATGAAATAATAATAGAAATACAGTTGATCGGCATATACACTACAGATAGTCAAGTACAAGAACAATAAATTAGTATACAAAACTAAATGTTAAAATTCTTTTTAATGCGGATAATGTTATAGTAGTAACCTCCGGCATATACACTACAGATAGTCAAGTACAAGAACAATAAATTAGTATACAAAACTAAATGTTAAAATTCTTTTTAATGCGGATAATGTTATAGTAGTAACCTCCAATTTAAGTGTGCGATCGATAGGAGAATGTATGCCATAGTTGGTGGTACGGAAAGGAATGTGAAAGAGATCCGTATTCCTGGGAGCTCTGGTAGGAGTTCAGTGCATATAACAAGACCATTAATTAATTTGTATATGGTAGGTCGGTAGCCGAGCGGTTCGAAGCGGGTGCTTTGTTAACTCTCTCAATCGACCGATGTTTGAGTCTGATCAATTTTCACTTGCTATCGTCCAACACGTGTTAGGAATCACACGTTCAAAGATAAGACCTCGTTAGTCCTTGACTCGCACAAGTTTCGACTTCTGACGGTTGTCTTTTGTAGGGGTGTGACAGCTGATTAACGGAAAAACATATTTTATCAGAATTTTCTCTTCTCTTACTCAGTGAACTGAGGTTGAGAGCATTTGCAATAAAGTTATAATTATGGTTCTCTATGGATGTCCATTTTATATGCACAGAATCTTAATAATTTATTCTGAACCCTTTCTGAAGTAGTGTAGTGATTCCCATAAAATGGTGACCATGATCCATATTCTGACCAAGAGATCATTTGTTAATGCAAAGTAAATTGTTCTTATGGATCCAACAGTAGGTGATTATAGTTTTATGAAATGAAACCCAATAGTTTTTTCAGTTTAGAACGGTATTATCATTATTTTGTGATTTATTTTTCAGTAAGTTGTTGCCTTATTCTGGAATTACTTGTTTATTTTTGTTAATTTTACATTGACAACTATTATATGTTTTGTTATTTTGTAATGATAGATAAATGAATGTATCATCATGAAAAAAATCCTATACTGTATGTATATGTGTTTGTGTTGAATATAAACATGGTATGCAGAGAGAGCAGCTTCGGTTGAGACATGTTCCAACAGTATTCTCAATGCATAGCAATATTTTTTGATAAGTAGTCTATGTGATTTTTCCAGTCCAGTCTCCTATCTATCAAGAGCCCCAAAAATTTTACCTGATTGCATGTTTATATTTTGATTATTATATTCAAAGGTATTCAACTCTGGCAAGGATCTATTTGCGAAATGAATTATTTGAGTTTTGTCAGTATCAAGTAGTAGGTCATTTGCTGTGAGGAAATTGTTTAATACATCTAGCACATTTGTTGTCTTTGTCATGACCAACTGAGAGTTCTTTTCTTTTACGATGACCGATATATCATAAGCATATAATACAATATCTTCATATATATATAATATACATAAAAACTTGGCAAGTTGACTTGGGTGTCACACCAATAGGAGGTTCCACTTATGTTTTCACTTGCGTTTACACAGCTATTTTTATCAAGTACTTTCTTGGTTTTTCCCATTTTGTCGTCAATCGAGGACCGCCTGCCCGGTACTGACGATGCCCAATAGGCTGAAACAGCTGTCTACCGGTGGCTCTTAAATTGGAATCAATATGGGAATGATGATTTTGAAACATTGAAACCATCAACCCTTAGAGAGTTGGAGAGCTATGTTGCATCGTGTCTTCGAAAAAAGCCACGTAAGCCATACTGTAAGTTCCGTTACCTCACGTCAAAAGGTCGCCTAAAATGCACCAGACCTCTGATAGTAGCACGCCCTTTAAAAAAAACTTGTCTTCTAAAAATTGAATCTTTTAGAAAATATATTGGGCGTGCCACAGGCGTACGTAATTGGAACTACACATTTTTAAGCATGGTAGAGCGTTGCTGGTGGGATTTTGGTTCATTGTTTATACAGTGTGTATCAGCCAAATGAAATAAACTCGATAATTGATAAAGTGGTTGTGTTAAAAAAAATTAGACATTCGGATTGGTATTTCCACCTTTTTATATATAGTGTATCTTGAAACAGTGGCAATACCAACTTTTTATTTTAATGTAGAAATTTGGGTTTTTGTTTGAAGCTGTTTGTGATTTTGGGTTTCTGAACCGTTGTATGTTGAAATTTATTTCTGGTGTTTTTTTGTCAGGAGTGCCTGGCACCTTCAGAGGTTTATCGTCACTTCCACTTGGATTCTTCAGATTATTCTAGACAATTTTTCAATTGGTTTGGAAATATGTTTTTAGATTCATTACAAAAATGAACAAAAATGGAAAATTACTTGATTGCAGAAATTCACTACAACACATTCAATACATATTTCTCAATAGGGTCTTGATCATTACTAAATTAGCAGAAACCATTTCATCCTCCCTATTCACTGAGATGAATTAAAAATATATTCTTGGGAAAGAAAGGTATTGGCTTTCTAGGTCTCCATCTTTATACAAAAAAATGTTGGAATCTTCCAAACAAAGGAAGGAAACAATCAATTTAAAAAAAAGTAACTCTTTAATCATGCAAAGAAGTAACATTAACATTGAAATACACTAAAGAAAAATACTTTCGAAACAAATACTTTCACATGAACACGGAATTATACAAAAAACACTTTTCTCTATTCAGTTTGTATTCCAAACATTTGTTATGGAATTGAATCAGATATCATTCACGGGATTTCTACACAATATAATAAATGAAAGAGGTGAAATTTCACTTATATGAAACACTGTCATCCTCACTTTGTTATTGAAATGAATCAGATATCATTCACGGGATTTCTACACAATATAATAAATGAAAGAGGTAAAATTTCACTTACATGAAACACTTTTCATCACCAAATCTGGTCAACATTATGAGATAAAACACTCAATTCATTCATAAAATTACGACTTTGTTAACTATGAATATAATCTACTCATCATCGATGACATTAGTAATGACATTCATTTGATTATTTGATTAAATCATTTTCAGTTTAAAAAATATATTCGCTTTTTTATTAGTTTTTTTATTAGTGGGATTAACAAATTGTCTGACTACATGACAGTAGGTGTCAGATAAAGCATCGGCCAATGCAATGCGCGTTGATGCTAAATTAAATATTATGTCTGAGTTTGAGTAGAATATATATACTTCGAGTCGAAAAGCAGCATAAAATGATACCAACTAAGAAGCTCATGGAAGATGATTTTGATATTTTTTTTGTGAACAAATGAAAGTAATGTTAGTTATAGTCTGTATAAAAGTTTTTGTTAAAGAAGTGCCCAACTAAAAATAGCAAAAACGTATCCGGGTGTTTTTTGAGCATGCCTTTATTAATTCATTATTGAATTTATTTCATTTGGTTTATACACATTGTATGTCGGTTGTCGGGAATGCTTTGCCCAATTATTCTATGATATATTGCTTAAAAGTGGTAATACTTTGTGTGGGATAATCGCTTTCTTGGCTAGCTTTCACAATGAAAAATAATGAAGCTTTATTGATTGGAAAATTGTTTTGAGTGCGCAGTGGCAGCATTTTTTTAAGATAACCTTATTACTTGTGTAGATTTACCATTTACTCGTTTTTCAAATTATGAACGTTTGAAAGGGTTAAAATCCCAAATCACTAAACAAAGAATAATCTATCGTGCATTACCTGAAGGTGAAATTGAACTGATTATTTCATGAGGAGATATAATAATTTTTAAGTTCAATTTTTTTGAACAACTTTTGATTTTTGTTTTAGATTAATATTATTTTGCAGTTGGTGCAACCCAACCAGCATTTTCAGTTGCCGCTTACTTCTTGGAATTAAGCGAACTTAATCAGTCGAACACTTCTTGTAAAAGTATCTATTGAATTAACTATCTATTATGATAATTATACAATTTTCACACTATAAATTTCATACAAGTTTCACTACATAAAACTTCATCAGTTGGACTGATCTATGGAAGAGAGACAAGTTCCCAACCTCCTTTCAATGTTACGTACTATGAGATTGCTTGTGATGTTTCAGGTTCAAATCAGACTCTTATAGATATAATTTAACAGCCTCAGGGTATATTTAAGAAAAGGGCTTCATATACAGGCTGATTCACGGTGGATGGCACATTAGACGTTTCTGGTGAACCAGACAACGGATCACTTTGAAAATTTAATGGAGGGCATATTCGGACATTCTCTAGCCAACTAAAATATTTTCGACAATGCGGTGTTGCCGCTTCTATTAGAAAGCAGTAGCAACTTTGATTTTTCAAATGGAACACTCTGTAACCTCCTTTCAATGTTACGTACTATGAGATTGCTTGTGATGTTTCAGGTTCAAATCAGACTCTTTTATAGATATAATTTAACAGCCTCAGGGTACATTTAGGAAAAGTGCTTCATATATGTGAGCAGTATTTCAAAGATATAATTTGAAAATTGGATTTTTAGTGAAAATCATACAACAAACTATAATAATAAGGTCTCATTTGGGCTTTATAAAACATTCAAAGTTAGCTAAGTTAATAAAAGCAGCATACATACATTTGACCTAATTATTCAAATAAATATCTACATGATGATGATCATTTTTGAAAGAAGAAAAATTATCTGATGTAGCCGTGGTCTCTTGATCGGAACATACAATGCTGCGGTGAGCCTAATGCGGTTTCCGACACATTTTTATTGAAAATGTCTAGAATGGTCGTTTGCATTGACGAAGTTTGCGTTGGCGGCAGGTCAAAGTTCCCAATAGAAATATGCTTCCCACACCATATAATGATTACTGCAGTATTCTGCATTCCAATCAAGAGGCCTCTACTTGAAATAATTATTGACAAAAGTTTTTGAAACGAATTCATAAAAATATGTTTTTATACATGTATTTTGAATAACATTATGAAGAAATAAAAAATTGATCTGCACGTGGTTTTTAGACTGAGAAATCGCAAGAAAGTATTCTGACATGTGTTTTGTTCACGAACATATATCTCATTCAAATTTCAATTTGGAGAAAAGGGTATTTAAATTTCTTTTTGAATTGCACACATGAAATTCTTTATAATTCAGAGTGAATTTATGTGCTTTCAACCAACTTTTTTTTTATTTTTATCTACGATTTACTAACCTCTTAATTTTATAATTTCAATGAAGTATTTAGAATTAGTTATTTATCATATCTGAATACTATTCGGTCCTTGATATTTTGAAATAATAATTTTTCAATTTTTTTCTTACTCTCACCCTTTTTCTGTAGTATTGTGTATATTAGTAATCTCAGTATGAATTTAATATACAGATAATAAGCAATTTGATAAAGATATATTCCTAATGAGTGAAACTTGATATTTCTATCTAATATTTGTTGATACGAATTCTAGAGGTCAGATGATCACTTATTTATGAAAAAATATATAAGCTACTTGAAAAATATTAACTACTCATTCAATAGGCAAGCTTTTTTTATAAAATTAGGTAGTATATGAATGTTAGAAATTCAAAATTCCCCAAAAAACTATCAACTTACAGACAACTCTTCAAGGCAACTCATCAAATTTTCCAAGAATGATATTTCGGCAACATGACAACTGAAACTTCTGAAACTGAAGTGAATTGTTACTCATCTAATTAATCGAATAAACATATTTTACACAGCCTGTATAGATCAATTATTAAAATTCTATGAATTGTATTTACGCCAAATCTATATTGATACTACTCGTAGCTTAGTACTTATTCTAATGTAGAGAATAAAATCGACTGATTATACAATTATCTAACAATAATGAAAATAATAAATATATTTCATTGATTATTTTAAAAAAGATAGATCAATTATTAAAATTCTATGAATTGTATTTACGCCAAATCTATATTGATACTACTTGTAGCTTAGTACTTATTCTAATGTAGAGAATAAAATCGACTGATTATACAATTATCTAACAATAATGAAAATAATAAATGCTTTTATTAATAGGTAAAAGAAGTTATAAATCAAATACAAATAATTCGTGAATCCTCAATCTATCAAATAGTAGGGTTCAAAAGTTATTCTAGGACATTGATTGCTTTTCCATTTAACCATCTAAAAGATCAAAATAAAAGTATTTAGAAAGTTCTTACATACATCCTGTAGTAGTATGTACAGCAAAACAACAAACACAGCACAATTTTGATAACAGAAAAATTTTTGGGCTTTCTATTTATCCATCTTTATACAGAAAACTTTGGAAACTTTTGAAAAAGTAGTTCTTTCAAGGGGGCTCTTGAACTTGATTGTTTCTTTACTTTGGAGGTTTCCCACATTTTTTTATGAATATGAAACAGTAGAAAGTCGTCAAAAAATTGTTTTTTCAAAAACTAATCTCTCCTGAAAATACACAACTTTCATGAAATACAAATTATAAACTTGGAGCAACACATCATTACACATATGTCATCATATTTTTCTGCTGGTAAAAAAATAATTTGAAAACAGGTTTGCTGCATATTCAATCAGTGGGAGCTCGTATTTGGATGGTAGCTTGCATTGGGTGGCATGAGAGATAGTAATTGACTATCGTTTTTACTGTTCATTATTGTTTATTGAGAAGTTTCTACAGTTTGAACATTTTTATTTCACACAAACAGTTGTTTTCACAACTGATGCCAAATAATTTATTTATCGTAATTATAAATTTTTACTTTAAATTGGAAATTACTCTATCTATGATTAGAACAGCTAAAAAAAATAATACGTCATATAATTGCCAAAATGTCACCTTCACAGTATATAACAAAGTCGTTATATTCTACAGTAATTGACAAGAATATTCTACATGTCTGATAGCATAAGAAGCATGTCAACATAAAATTTTTAGATATTTAATTACTCTTTATTCTAATTGGTAGCATTATTATCTTTCTGAAGGTATCAATTTCGTTTCATTTTAAAACTGTCAAATTGGTTAGTTTTAGAAAATATAAGTAGATATCGAACTAGTTTAAAAAATATGTTTGAAATCTGTTTTTCCGTTAATCAGTTATCCAACCTGAGTAAGAAATCACTATTTTGGTTGCATCCAAGTAGGCAAAATTTTGTTGGATTTGTCTTATAATGAAAGAAGTGTAGTATATATGAGTTTGATATCAATTTATAAAAAAAAGAATTCAATCTTCAAATCAGTAGTTCAGAGCTTATTATTATATTTTTGTCAAACGTTTGTTTGAAGGTGATTGACAATGTTACATGATGAATTTCACTAGTTCGGACATCATCATTTTATATAGTAGACAATGGAAGTCCGAACTAGTGACATTTTTGTCAAAGTTGTGTAGCTTAAAAAAATTTAACAACTAATGGATAATACAGATCAGAAATAATGAATTGGTATATAGCTATATATATATTACTACAAAATAGGTTTTCATGAGTGGTAGAAAATGCGAGGTTGTTTTTCTTGGTATTCGTCCTTTCAGAGGACTTTGAAGGTCAACATTTAGCAATTCATTTCATAACAATGTATTATTAAAAGACTGGTGGTAGAACTCATATCAAGGAAATTATATAATTTATCTATTTTTTGAACACATACTTTGATAATGATCGGATTAGATCTGGTGTAGACAAAAAGTATTTAAACTAATTTAACATTCAATAGTTGTTATTTTATAATTCCTGCATTAAGAAAATGTAGTCAAGAAAAAACTTACTACAGTGAAACTAAACTACAACAAAACTATTTTCTGTTGTTTTAACATTTCTTAACCTGTTACAGAAGAAGCCAGTAAGTCAGATCCAACTGGTGCAGGGGGACCTTCCGGTCGAATGTCTTCTAGTTCAAGTAGTTCAGACTCTGATAGTAGTAGTAGCAGCTTATCAAGTAGTTCGAGTGATTCCAGCGACAGCGAAGCAGGTTAGCTTTCAAATTGGTCATTAATCTTGACATATATCTTAAAGAGAGGTACTTTATTGGAAGTTTCGTATAGTTCCAGGCTGGTTTCAAAATTAAATCGTCTGTTCTAATTTAAATGCTTATCTGTTTATATTGAAAGAGCTTTCATTTTTGACAAAGCCATTCTGATCTTATATAGTTAAAATCGCTAGTAAAGTGCCATGCTTTTAATTTATTGTCATAGACAGACATATTTTTGCTGTCAACAAAGTATGTTGTTTTTTTACTTTATTTCATAGTTTTATGTTTCTGTTTTTGATGGACACAGCTTGAAATTTGTGGGTGCAATTTTATATAAAACTGCTTCAAGAAGTGTTTAATTCGTTTTAGTTGTTGATTTTAAAAAAATATTTATGTGCATTCAATAGTATTTTGATTTGAGAAAATTGCATTCGCACTACGTAAGCTGCTCAGTAATTTATTATTTTTGTTCTGAATATTTGGTGTTATTTGTTATTGCTGAAAATCAGAAGAGAATGTGGCAAATTTGATTTTATCGTCACCACTTTTTCATTAGCATGAGAACTAATGATGTATAATTTATACAGAAAATTGTAAATAGTGATTATTCTATAAGAACAATTGTAACAGTATCTCAAAGTGTGAATTTGAAAAACTCAAGTATTTCTACAAAGTGATGCATAATATAGGTTGAACTTTCAGTTGTATGAAAGATTACGCTTTCAATTTTTTGAATTCAGAAAACAAGATTTATTTAATTTTTGAACTACAGTGAGTTTATATATACTAAATGGCAAAATAAATAAAAACAGTTGTTATGCAGTTGTTCTGGTGCTCTTTCCTTATATTTATATTTACACATACGAAGAATTTTTGCCATAACTGCCACAGTCTTCAGTTCAAATAGGGTTTTATAGTGCGTTATGTGTCGCAGTGATAATTGAATATGTAGTATTAATGCATCACATTTGAACAAATAATTTCTAAGCAAATATTATTTGTTCAAATTGGTGATAGTATTAGCCTTGAGTGCATAACAAATGTGTGGGGCCCCAACATAGTGGACCAGCCATACAGACCTAAGGTCTTACCACAAATTTTTCATGGTTGATTATTTCAATATCGGGTGACTATAATGTAAGCGCTACATTTTAATGCAGACAATGTGTGTGGCGGCTGTATTTATTTATTTTTTTGAGATCTACTTCATTTCATATTTGATCATTTCCATTTATTAAAGTATGCAATTTTGGTGTTCACCATTTATTGGTTTATATTGGCAACTAATTAATTTTTTTAAGTGTAATTTTGGTAGATATAACTGTCACCACTTACTGAAATTTTTTACATTACATACATCTTCAATAATATACAGATCTTTCTGAACGGTGATAGTAGTTTCCTGAACACCAGTTAAACTGATCATATATGGTACTGTGTGGTTTCAGAATTTTAAATTTGGTCAGCACTTCGGGCTGGCTTCCACCCACATTGTTTGCACTCTAGGCAATTTTTTGAAAATTCTAATTTCTTCTGAGCTTTCTCAACAACTATAACACTTCAAGACATTTATTATACTTCAAGCTTAGAAGAAATTAGGAGTGGCAGTTTATTATGATTAGAGGCAAGTAAATCAACAGTTCTTCATTTGTCAAAAAATATATATAGATTATGAAAGATGTCTCATATCAGAATACTTATGTTTGTAATATGAAATGTATATATTTAATTTATAAATTCATTATTGTACTACTCAAATGTTTCTGTCTTTTTTCAATTTCAATGATCATTATTTTTATGACATTGTTGATTATAATAATTGTGAATTTTTCCTATGGTATGGTTGTACATACTTTTTTGTCTGACTTTTTTGCACTATATTTTTAATATCCTTCAATATTTATGTTTTTCCATCTATGTATTTGGCCTCTTTTTAATTGAAATATATTATATTGTCATTTTCATTTCTTTTTTTCATGGGGGGGATCATGGAAATTGTTTACTATGTAAATAAAAATATAGATGAACTAATGTAAATATGTGAACTCTCATAATGTTCACAAGTATACCTTGCCTCTAGAGTAGTGTTTTCTGCTGACTATTTAAGAGTTTCCATTTGTATATTAAAATTCAGTGGCAAGAATGTAAACAACACTGATGTCGAAAATAGTTTATTATTAAATTTAATATATAAAAACAAAAGTTCGTTTTTGTGGTAAGACCTTTTATGTACTCAGGCTACTTATATTTAATAAAGATATAGTTTTTTACATCAATGAGTTTTGTAGGTGATACAGGAAATAAACAACCAAAAAAGAAAATCAAACGGTCACCGAATCCTTCCGTGGGAAACTCTAATACTACGGTAAGTGAACTTTTTTGAATTGATTTTGATGTATGAGTAATTACAATCTCTCCAATGGCTCAAAAACCTTCCTTTTGTATTAAGACTTGAAGCAACCATGTTAGTTGTAACTTCATGTGTTCACAATTTTTTTCACACGAGCAAATAACATCAGTGCTAAAAAAATCATTTTGAAAACTAAATATGGTTACCCATTTTAATACCATTTCCAAAATTTTTCCTGGCTAGATGTTTGTTTCAGCTCTAAAGATCCATCTATTTGTGCTTCTGAAATAACGGAAATCATTCTATCATCCATGATTGCATATATTACTATTTCAATGAAACTAACTTTTAACGGCAAACCTTGGTTCAAACAAAAATGCGAACAAGCTGTCGCCTCCAAAAATCTCGCCTATCAGCAGTGACGAAAAAATCCTAGTGCCGAAAACCAAACTAGGTTTGTGAATACTCGCAACAGCTGCAGACTTAGGATAAATGATAGCAAAGAACTTGGTATTCACAGAATTAGGGATACACTGCTTGCCAATCCCAACAGGTCTAGATCCTTCTGGTCGGTAGTTAAAGCACTTAATCAAAACTTTACAAAATTTACAATTCCACCACTAAAACGAGGATGGTTCAGTTGCAACAACAGCCATAGAAAAAGCACATTTACTAGCCGAACAATTTGCGTCTCACTCCACAGTCGATTAGAATCCACAATGCCAGAAATTACATTTTGACATAGTCTAGTCAGGCGAATTTTGAAACAGCTCATCAACAAGGCGTCTGGTCCTGATGAAGTGCCCGTCATCGTACTTTATTATAAAGTGCGCAAATGAACTCGCACCAGTATTTTGCAAACTTTTCAACCTGTCCTACAAGAAAGGAGTTGTTGGATGATTACTCGTGTTCAACCTATTCCCAAACAAGGCAAAAAAAATCTTCCAAATAACTATAGACCAGTCGCTTTGCTATCAGTGATATGAAAAATCATGGAGAAAGCTGTAAACCACAATATCCTTAAATATTTGAAAGGCGATCATCAATATGGCTTTCCGAAACAAATATCAACAGGCAGGCAACCTTCTATCGTATGTCACCCATATTTGGAATAACGCAATCGAGAAACATGAAGAGTCGAAAGCTGTTGCGCTTGATATTTCTAAGGCCTTTGACCGTGTATGGCATGAGGGTTTGCTAGCCAAACTTTGATGCTATGGCTTGTCAGAACATTTTTGTGTATGGCTCTTCAGCTTCCTGAAGGAATGTTTCCTGCAAGTGGCTGTCGATGGATATCTCTCGAATACTTTCATCATCAACGCTGGCCTCCAACCCTTTTTTTATTGTATATTAACGATTTATTGGAAAAAACAAGAATCCAATACATTGCTTTGCTGACGACAGCACACTTGTCTCGTCATTCCATTTGGATTCTAGTACATCAGCTGCGGATGCACATTTTCACCGGCAGCAGGAGGTTGCATATCTTAATGACGATCTAGAAGTAATTTCGAAATGGGGTGAAAGTAATCATGCTCAATTCAGTGCCACAAAAACCCAGTCATCGGTTTTCTCCAAAATAGATAAATGTCTCCGAACTGGATATAATGTCAGGTCAGACAATTCCACTTTCTACATCAATAAGTTTGTTGTTGGTTAAAATGAACACCAATATGTCTTGACACAATCATGTCACTAGAATTGCAAAAGCCGCTTCTCAAAAGCTTGGAACACTGTTCCGAACCAAAAAACTGTACACGCCTCAGCAACTTTTGATGCTTTATAAAGCTCAGATCAGACCTTTGGAGTATTGTTCTCATGTATGGAGCTCCGTCCCTAAGCATACCCTGAAGCTGTTAGATTCCATTCAGAAAAGAGCCATCTGCCTGATTGGAGACACCAGCATCACTTGCATCCTTGATAGTCTGGAACATCGAAGAAACGGAGACTTGTAGTTCTTCTATAGATTTTCAAGGGAAGTGTTCAAGTGACTTGGCATATCTGATTCCACCAAGAGCGGTACATATCAGAAATACGCGACGGACTGTGGCTGCTTATCGTTTTGAGGTTCAACTCAGGTCACCTGTTTAAGAACTCTTTCATTAGGAGAACTGCGCTAGAGTGGAAGAAACTTCCTGAGAACGTTTTTCCAAATGGATTTAATCTCCAAAGATTCTAATCCAATGTGAATCACTATTTTCTCAAAGGCACTGCTCTTAGAGCGCCTTAAAGATTTTCCTGTAGTGCTTGCGTTTTGACCTTGAAAAAAAATCAAGTAAAATTCACCACAATACAAAAAATGAAATAAAGTCTAAATAGTTAACATGTTAAATTCTCTATCATAAATATGTAATGTTTCTTGAGAATAAAGCATCACTGTCAGTATTAAAAAGAAAGGGGTATATTTTTAGGAGAGGTTATATTTTGGGAAAGAAAGTTTTTGTAGAGAATTACTTTTTTGAAATTGATTGCTTGTTTCCTTTCTTTGAAAGAGTTTCACATTTTTTTTTGTATCAAGATTGAGAAGAAGAAAGCCAAAAACTTTCTTTCCCAGAAGAAGTGAAGTCATACATTAAAATCCTTTTTACTTCTTTGGATTTGTCTGTGGAATTCAACCAACGAGATACTTTACTGATTTGAGCAACTCTTTGGTAGTATCAGAACCTCAGATCGAATATTCTGAAAATTACTTTCTTCTATACCAAATCTTCGACTAAGATGTCATCCAAGAAAACTATGGTACCTTCGACTCTCCGATTATTTGTTGAAATTTTGCCAGAATGGATACAATTCCATAAGGAAACCAATAAGAGTGAAATAACCCATTATAAGTTGATATTGCCATTGGCTTTAGAAAATTCATCTAACCGAATTTGCGGTATGCAGCAGACAGATCTAATTTTAAGAATTGAACTCTCTCTTGTAAGTTGATGAACAGTTCATTGATTCTAGTAAGGTTGTACTGTTCTATTTAAAAAAATCTGTTAAAATTGTTTTTTCGTTAACCAGTTGTCGTCCCCCCTACGAACGTCAACACTAAAAAGTCGAAACTTCTGCGAGCTAAGGACTAACGGGGTTTCACCTTTTAACATGTGATTCCTACAAAAAAAAAGGTTAACTGTTATCTTAACATCCTTACCCAACCTAAATGACCCGTCTTTATTCTACTATGATTAACAGGTGCTATTAGGTTGTTTCATAAGTTTTATCCATTTTGATTATTTCACTTTGAACTGTAATATCTCATTAATTACTTATTCAATTCAATTGAAATAAGCGCCATATGAATTAGTGCACTTTTGCCAACGTAACAAGTCGATTAATTCTGTCAGCATAAAAAGTGTGTGCTCGGGATTCGATGAAGTCGACGAAGGTCGTTTTTGTCTGGTCCTGATTGTCGCAGTGCTACTGGTGAAAAAGTTATCGAAGTGCTTGAAAAGATGGTAGTCAGTTAGTCGTTACATTTTGTAAATTTTCTCACAATAGGACTCAGCTGTGATGGTTTGGCCTGGTTATAAAAAGTTATATTGAATCACATCAGTCGCGGACCACCATAGAGTAACCATGGTCTTTTTTTGGTGGGTTTTCTCCTTTGGGAGGTGCCTGGGTGGCCCATCGCTGTCCAACCACTCTCCTGAACGTATCCTGTTGTCGTGCCACGTGATGATCCGAACAAAAAAAAAAACCGTTTGGGTTGCGCAAAAACAAAGAAGAGCAGACCTCGAAACGTGACAATTTCTGTCAATTGTTCAAATCGTGGGGCACACACTTTTCGACTTTTCCAATATATTTCATACTATCAAAAACCTCATGTGAACTGACGCCTAGTCCTTCCGCCATTCCACGCATTGTTTGTGAAGGGGTCACTCTCCACCAGAGTCCTCAAATCCTCGTCCTGGATTGCTGTAGGTCCACAACTTCGGGGCTCATCTTCGAGGCTAAAATCTCTAGAACAAAATTATGCAAACCAAGTCGAACACTGCGTTCATTAACACCGGCATTGCCAAATGCCTGGATAAGTTTTCGGGCTGTTTCGGCAGCTCTTCGATACAATTTGAATTTGTATAGAAAATTTGGCCAAAAATCGCTAAATGACATAGTAAGTAATAAGCTGAAAGGCAAAAAATTTAAATTTGGAAAAATTCAACAGCATCAATGTACAAAATTCTCTATCTATCAGTATATAACAACACAGTAGAATAAATATTTATTGAGATATGGCGCTACAAAAACACATGACATTGAAATAGACAAAACTTTTGAAATAACCTAATATTACTCCAGGCATTTTCTAGTCGAGGTCTCGCCGCATGTCGAATTACATGAAAATTCTAATTTGCTTTTTTACTTTCATTATTAAATTTGTCATATTATATACCTTGAAGGAGAATCTTTATCGCCATTATGAGTATGGAATATTTTGGTTAAAAAAATGTATCTTACAAATGTTGCAAATGAAATTTATCCGCTATAATTTGATCATGTATCTAATTGGAAAGAATAACTCATATTTTCCACTTTCAAATTAATCATTATTGGTTCATAAGAAACCTCTGAATTATACAAGAATACTATTCTGATTCCACACACTGTGCGTAGTAGGAATTGCATCAAAGAAGTGATTTTCTATATGTTGAAAACGAGAAACTTGCTCGTTTTCAACATATAGAAAATCTCAGGTTCGCGTATGTGGGAGGGGGTGTCATGGGCAACTTTTTCAATTCTGTTAACATATGAAAGAATTAGAGAATTTATTTCCGAAATGGCCAATTAAACAAAAAAATAGAATGAAGATGAAATCTTGTCTGCTTGTTTTGATAAGAAAAAGTCAAGTGTTGAATCAATTAAAATGAAAAAAATATAGGTCGAGAAAATAGTTTTCCTTTCAGAAGAACCCTTGGAAGGAAATAACTACTTTCATAACATCGATATAGACATTTTTGGTTTCATTACCTGAAAAAGCATTCTTAATAATTTTTTCCACTTGGTATATCTTGCAATACAAACCAGCAAATAGTATGATTTAAAAAAGAATGTGCAGTTGAGTGTATTATCTTGACAATGTTGGCGGAAACAGATAGGTTTAATAAAATTAGATGCTTCCTAGAGTGGATATTAGAACCAAGATTGTTATTACAACTGATGCAAATTTTTGACTTCAGTAACTTAATATCAATCATCCAACTTTGAAATAAAACCATAACTTTTTTAGTAGCCTCTTATGGTATATTTATCTATTCGAATATTTTCCTGCATTAACTTTTTAAAACTTATTACCACAATTGTACTTTTATATATTGCATGAATTTCTGAAACACTCGGGTTTTGCCAACCAGTTTGTCAATATTGATGAATTTTGAGTTGGTTGGGTAAAATGCTTTGTGATATATTTGTCAGAGTAATGGTTCTTGGGAAAATATTTTCATCTGATGCTAGAGGTTCCATCTTACAAAGCAGTCATTATGTTTCTTCAATAATTTCAAAACGTGCATGTTATGTTCAAGTTGGAAATTATTCATTATTACACAACACCCAGTTAATGACTTATTTTTATTGTATTTATTATAGTAGTTACAATTATTCAAATCAAAACGAGTTTTTCTTGTAAAGTAGGTATATGGTTTACACAGCTCACAGCTGTTCCGGTAACATGGTGCTTTCCAAAAATAAACAACAAGTGAATTTTCTTTGGAGATGAAATTTTCAAATTAATGTAATGAGTACATATATCGACAAACTTTCAAGTGGATATGTCGGATGACACCAAAAAAAAACAGTGTTGCCATTTTTGGAAAATGAATATAATTTCTTTCCCAAAAGATGAGATCCAGAATATTGCAATATATTTTTTGTTGCATATGGTCAAGTTTTGAATTCATAGCTTTTATATTAGTATAACGATGAAGAATTTAAGATAATAAATTGATGAAATCTCCCAGTACTGATTATTCATTTTCCTTTTCAATTTTCGATCTATTTTGCATGAATTACATCTCACTTTATTTTGTTTTGGCAGAATTTACAGAAACCACCACAACCAGCACCTGTCGCACCATCAACGACAAACACAAACAGCATACCTGACAAGACCTCAGTGGTCCCACAAGTTGTACCCTCGATAAGCGTTGCAAGCCTAGTTGCCAAACAGCAACCACCTGTCACTGCTGCTGCATTTTCTGCAACAACTCCTAAACCATCCATCACTTCCGAGAAAATACCTACCATTTCATCTTTATCCGTTCAGACAGTGGCTCCTACCACCGTCTTACAAGCACCCAAAGTCACGTTACCAACCCCTCCTCTTGACAAACCTAAATCTAATATATCACCTGTTAGTACTTACAGTGATCCTCTAGAACAGTCCTTAGCAAGTTTAGAGCACGACATTAAACAAAATGATCCTATGGATGTGGTAGCTGCCGCTACTGTCATGCAAATGCCAACAACTTTGAGTAACCCCATCGTTTCCCATCCTCATCCTAATATTCATATGAACCCTAACCTAAATCATCCTATTTTGCAGCCCAGTACCTTAAGTATGGACCTTAAAGCTCCTGTTACTCTGAGTAATATGTTGCCAACAAATCCCATGATCCATCATGGAATGAATACTCCTATTGAACCAGAATTGCCTGGCTTGATGCATCCTCACAATGCCCAGCCAAATGTCATGCATATGCAAAATAATGGATTTGGCATCAAACACGAATTTGAGGTAGGTACTAACAATAATGGAATTTCATCTATTGGGTTACCAATAGAACTGTCGATATCGTCCATGTTTGATCCATTACCTCAACATATGAACAACCAAATAAATAAAAGTGAACCCTCTCAAATAAAGACGGAGGATCGGCTAGACACCACTGGTGGTTTACTGAATGATAAAAAGCTCCCGTTGAACCAGAAACCACTTTCTCAAACTTTCGGAGGTTTCAAAACAGAAAAACATGAGCATAATGTTAAAAATGCAAGTTCTTGGTCGAGTTTGGCCAAGGGTAAATCACCTCAAAACAATGTTCCTGGAGGTAGTAGCAAGCAGCAGGTTATGGATAGTTTCAAAGCCTTCCAAAACAAAGCTAAAGAAAAAGCCGACAGGGAGAAACAAAGGTTGGAAAACTTGGAACTCAAGAGACAGCAAAGAGAACAAGCTGAAAGAGAAAGGTTACGTGCTGAAAATGAAAGACGGAGAGAAAGGGAAGAGGAAGATGCCCTAGAAAAGGCCAGGTATGTACCTTTTCGTTTTGTTTCATTGTATACAATGTCGAATATATTTGCTGTGATATCATAATATTCAACAATATGATATCCAGAAATAAAATTTGTTTGTGACACACACACATTATATATATATATATATAGTAAACAGTTTACTTGAAAATGGTTTTAGTCAATTTAGATGGATTTTTTTCAATAATGTACGTGACTATTTTCACAGAAAAGCAGTTGCTGAGCAACAACAACCTATACCAAGTCAAAGGGTGGAAGAATTAAAGTCATCTCCGGGTGAAGGAAGTACATCCCCAGGCTCATTAAGTTCAGGATCCGAAAGGATTTCAGAAAGAGAACGTCAGAGGTTACAAGAACAGGAAAGGAGGAGAAGAGAGGTTGTAAGTACATAATGCAGTTGATTTGATAAAAATAATATTTGAAAAATTATTTTTATGCTGTTCAGGGTTTTCAAATATGAAATTTTACTAAATGTAAACTTCTAAATGGACATTTTTTTTTCAAATATTTTTCAGTGGGATGTTTTTAGATTACATTTATTTTTGATAATATCAAAATGGGATAGCCAAAATTGCAAATTTCATTAACCATTACTATTGAAGTATAATAATTCGTTAATGATAATTTTTGACAATTTCATAATTTCAAACCCTTATTTTTTATACGCCCTTACATTCAAATTTGGATAAAGAAAATGAAAATGAGTAATTATTGCAAATTTTGTTAATAATTATTGTTGAAGTCATAAAATATTAGTTTCTATCATATAGAGATCTTCAACAACTCGTAAGACCTAGAATGAAAGAGAAAAAGTCTTAAAATTGTATTCAGGTTTTTTTTCTGATATTTCGTTTATGGAAGCTATGAAGACAACTAGAGCACTTTGTTACCTCAGGCATGAAATCCTACATGCCACGTCCAACCAATCCGGAAAATAGCTTTGACACGTTTTATCTGTCCGTGAAAGCTTAACATTAAGATCCTTTCTCTGCTTTTTGAGGGGAATTAAGGGGACAAGCTAATTGAAATATTTTCACATAAATATTATACTCCTGTTTCTACTTACAGAACAAATGATTAAGTCTATATATTGTCATACTGAAAATGGCATTTTGTAGAAACCACTTTGGCAACCTAATCTTTATGACATTATCAAATCTATATATTTGTCAACTGTACATATTTTGAATAAAAACTATATTTTTTGCACGAGAGGATTTCCACTGAATATTACTGTAGTTTTATCCCAACACCACGACACGTATTTCGATCATCAAGTGATCATCTTCAGGAGGAAGATTAAACTTCCACTATCAATAAATTCATTATAAAGATCAAATCAATCAACCTTTTCAAGATTGACTATAGGACAAGCAAATTCCAGTTATAACAGGAATTTCTTACTCAATACAAAAGTTTCTGTATGAAAACTTTCAAGTTTGGTTTATGTCAGTATGAAATATGAGAAATAAAACTTTCAATTGTTTTAAATAAACGGTTTATTGTATTAGTTTGAAAATGTCCTTACCTATAGGACGAATCTGCAGTAACGTTAGTTACAAATACTAGTGATGAAAAAAACAGAAAGTTTCATTTTTCTTGATGATCTCATACCATGTAGTAACGACTACATCCATCAATTTATTTATTCATTGAACTGCTTCAAAATTCTTTGTAAATGCTATATGTATTCATTGACAGTTCGTTTTAAAAAATATAGTTTTCAACAAAGAAATCATTTATAAAGGAAGCACCTAACGAAATATTTAAATTAATAACTGACATTTTATAAATGTTCGTCATATATAACAAAATGAACTCAAATAGCCTTATGCCACACTAATTTGCATGAAGCTTGGTAGAGCAATAGTTGAACTTTGGGCTCATAAACCAATTATCACAGTTTCAGTTCTCCCCAACTGCAGTTTATTATTTTTTCAAAGTATCATACTTGAAATTGTGTAAAATAAAATAAAGTTATTTTTTTTACTTCGCGTCTTGTTATGAAAGACACACACAAATTAATCTTATTTTAAAATATTCCTAATATGAGTCACAAAAAATGCACATTACTCAATCAAATCATTTACTACAAACGCCTATGGCTCGCCTCAACACAATTTATTCTCATGACCATGAGTGTAATGACGACATTTCTCGCTGCTTGATATTTTATATTGCAATTTAAAATATGAATCTTTTTAATCCTTTGACATCTATAATAATATATGGTTTCTTCTTCTAATTATTGAATATAATCCAGACCAATATATGCTTTACCAAAATAAATTAGAAAATGTATGATGCTTTAAAAAATGCTAGTTAGCAACTGAATAATTGAAAGAGAGAATTTCAGTTTTCTGTTATTCAATATTTTTTCTTTATTACCTTCAATGGTATTTTAATATTCCTATAGCTGTTAAACAACTATTACGTGAACAGTTCCTTTAAGTGAAAGCTCTGAATGTCTTTTAAAATGATTGTGATTACATGAGTTGATTGAAAACTTCAAAATTATATGTACTTAATTTCAAATGTACACCAAGAAAAGTTTTTCCTCGGTTTTTCAGCATACCTTTTGATCAATATATGAGGCAATAATAATTTCCATTGAATATTTTATCAGTTTGCATTCTAGTTTCCAATAAATTCTATTAAAATTTTCAGCCTCTATATATAAATACACTTCTCTTTTTCATATATCTTAACCTGTATTGAGATGTGGAAAATTATATCTAATATGAAATACAAACTTTCTGCTTTTGTGATATATATGAAATGCATAATAATTTGTCTATATATTAAAATGAAAAAGAATTATTCAAACTGACATCAAAACTATTCGGGAAAAGCGGAAATATTTTTGACTTCTCACTTTTCTCAGACTTTTTTCAAATACTTGCTATATTGATTCTATAGTCCAGTTGGATGTAAAACATCTTATGATCTGCTTTACTGAACGGCATATTCTTCCACCAACAAATTATTACTCAACATTTTCATTTACTAAGCTCTTCAATTATAATCATATATTGATTTGTATCATAATTCAAAATTGAAATGTTTGAAGAAAATACTTTTTTTGTTTCAGATGGCGAACAAAATCGATATGAATATGCAAAGTGATTTAATGGCGGCTTTTGAGGGTTCTTTTTTTTTTTTGTTAGCACTTTCAATTTCGAAATGACAGTTCACTACTACTTGTATATTTGAACCTAGATCATTTACCTCAAAAATAATTTTGTAATGTCTTAATTGGTATAGTTCAAAATATTGAGATACTCATAGTTTAGGTATGTAGTTTCAAAGAAAGTTATATTCACTCATTGTCATTTCTGATATAAAAATTACCTGGAGCTAAATAGAAAAATTGTTATTTTCAATATAACAAAACTGTCATGGGTAGTAATGATTATATATAATTTAAATCTTCTCTACAAATAGAATTAAGTGTTCATCGTTTTATGAATGGGATTGTACGAATTATTGTAAATATCAAAAAGGTAATCCAAATGAAAAAAATTTAAAATTCACTTATTTAAAGGTACTTTTTTTTGTAATCTGTTATTTTTTGACCCGCATATAAGTGCCTTTATGATTTACGAAATGTATGATATCTAAGTGAAATTTAGAATTCTTTCAAATGCAGATTCATTCAATTGAGCTTAAGAAAACACTTCGCTGGAAACTCGAAACAGTTTCGTTGGTATCTATATATTTTAACGAAATTACTGTTTTCGAATTATTTTATGTTATACACTGTATATTATTTTATGTTATACACTGTATTTAAAGTAAAACTGGAACCTTTGGCGTAGAATAAACTGAAAAAACAAGCACTTTTCCCAATCACCAGAAATACAACACTCTTCTCGAGCCGCTTTTCACCAACCAAGTTGGCGTCTTCCGGAGATGAAGAAAACTAATGAAGTCAATTTGGTTGGTGAAACACGTGTCGAGAAGAATGTTGTATTTTTGGTGATTGAGAAAAGTGATTGTTTTTGGATATGCACTGTATTGTCAAAAAACTTAGTGAAGATGAATGTTGGAGAAAATAGATCAGCTTATACGCTGGATTAAATGTGGATTTTCTATTTCTGCTGCACTGGCTACTGATACTTACGAATCTTTGGATGCCTTTTTGAAAGTCATACAGAAGTGAAATCTGACTTTCCTTAAATTTAAGAAAAAGCAAAATTTTTATCAAACATATATTTATGATGCACTGTTTGGAACCTTTGGTGTAGTATTGAATATTACTGGAGTTCTTTCCCAACACCAAATCATTATTTTTAACATAACGATTTGGTGTTGGGAAAAAACTCCAGTATTATTCAAAGATATATTGGGAACAGTTGTATTCATAATATTATGGTATAAGGATTAATTGAGAATGTAGATCAAGAGTAAATTGTAATCGATTTATTCTTTCAAGTCATTAGAAGAAATCAATTGAATCAAACCGTGTTCAATCTTGAAAAAAGTAATGTTTCAGAAACCTATTTGAACTCTATCATCTTAATACGGATTTCCACCGAACAGACTCTCTTGCGACTAGTTTCGTTGTCAAAAACAGAAACAAAAAAAATGTTTTAATTTCAAAAATAAACTTGAATTCCTAATCTGGGTCGCGTGTTTTGTTATGAACTGTTTTATGTTGTTTCCACTACAGGAACATCAATCAAATTGCAGCATTTTTCAACTGTCCATTGCATTTTTTTGATCGTTCTACAAAGAAAAATTAAATGTCATTCTTGTTTGAAATAAACAACACAACAAATCAATAAAAGTAGCCAGCCTAGTTCCAATAATCGAAATTTATACCCACCACAAATGAACACTTTAAACAAAGTAATAATGTCACTGACCATTTTACATAGTGAACACTGTGTACAAAAACACAGAAAAAACACCGAAACCTTTTGATCTTTCCGCCTGCCGAAGGGACATTTCATTGTTGACAAGAACAGTTGCCCGCTACACAAAGTTTTCAATTTTTTTTTTAATTTTGACAACTGAAATTTTTATTTTGTCGAAATCAACACAGTTGCTATTTTATTGTGGTTTTGTCTGTTTGGTAGAAATCCGCCATTATATCAGAAGCAAATATATTTTGAAGAAGTATCTGTGATAATAGTTTTACACTTGATAGCACCTCATATAAATAATTTATTGAAATCAATTTTGATATTTATTTTATTCATTGAAAAGAGAAGGTTTTCTTTAAAAACATGCTATTGCTACCCTTTTTCAAACATATGCTTGTTTAATTGCCAATAAAAAAAATCATCAACCTTCGCTCTTATGTAATGATACATATTCAAAAAATACCATATGTTATGACTAATGAGCTGCAAAGTTGGACACTGCACCAAATTCTATATTAAATAACGATGAACATTTTGGAGTTTAGTTATGTGAACAAATTCAAGATATCTAGTTGATTTTATATGAAAAAAAATTAATGAAAATGGTTGCTATGATGTGGGTTATTCAAAATTTAATTTGATTTTCTCGCCTAAATTTACTAAATTAATAAAAATCACTGAATGATCGGCGAAGTTGAAAAAATTATAAAAATGACAAAACGGTAATGAATTTTTTGTTGACGACTATCAAGATTCATGATTTATGGAAGTTGAAGTATTTTCTTCTTATTGAAGTAAATCATGAATAAATTGAATAACCCCAGAACATAATTGTTCACCAAAACCTTAGTTTGACCACTTGATACTGAATCAGGAAATGAAATTCTCTTCTGTGTCAAATATTAATATTATAAAATTACCAAGAGTTTGTCTTGGGAGCACTTCCTCATCTTCATAGGAATATTCAAGAGCATTTCAATTTTCTCTGTTTCAGTAACTGATAATTTTCATAATAGTGATGTTAGAATAAATATTTAAGAAATTTACTGAGATTTATTTCTTTTCCCATTAGAAAAAATATTTTCACATGATCTTTGAGGGTTGTTCTAATAATCTATTTCCTAACATTCATTACAATTTTTTTTTTATTGAAATTGAAAATTACAAAGTTTTTAGGTAATTTCTATTCATAACAATCATGACAAAAATCAAATAAAGTCACAAAATAAGTTGAAGTCTGTATAGATCCAAGCGTTCGAGGTGTCAGGGCTTGCGGTCCTTCCAATGGGAAACTAGTATTTGAGTCTAGCCTTGGAGGGCACCAACTCATACGTTCGAGGTGTCGGACCCGGATGGACGAAGCTACTAGTATCCGAGCTTAGGATCTCGACTTGCCACTTCCAGGGACCATATTTCCACTCGATTTGGCAGGTTAGCGGGGGCAGGTGTGCGACGCGAGTACTCTCTGGCGAAATATAAGAGCATAGTTAACTTGTACGAACGTTCGGTCGAACGCAACCGATAGCTCCGTTACTATATAGGTTAGTCACACTTAGATGATGTAAGAAGGCAACTCCGGGTTCGGTGAGCGGGAGGAAGTCCTGAGAAATCCTGTTGGTGTGGGTTGAGGGGCGGTACCCGCAAGGATTTCCCGAAAATCCACCCCACCACACCCAACTGCATCCTACGCCAGGGTATGTTCCGGGGGCCTAATCCCAGACCCCCCGGTGTAGTCGTAACTATGATTCTCCTAAGATAGGAGTGAGCATGTAACTTCACAACACCCTATATAAACCTATATTTTGTCCAGATAAGGTATTTATTAAACGATTTCAGTTTCGAAAATCCTTTCGAAATCAGCAACCAGAAGAATTTTTCTAAAATGGACAAAACAATGAGTTTGAAATAGCTGAGGATAATTCACGTTAACTCCCAATGCATCACTAATAAAACGAATCAACTTGAGGTGATTTTAACGGAGCAAAAATCATTCATTCTGTGCGTATCAAAAACATGATGTAATAAAATAGTTCGAGTGTACACACTATTTAATACAATGAGTATAAAATCGACACTACAAAAATGTGTCAATTTTAGGACACTCGTCTGTCGAAATGGACTACGAAACTTGTGCTATTTCTTTTGTTATAAATTTCAAAACATTATGTTTGCTTCCCATAGAATGGAAATATGGACGTTTTTTACATAAGCTATTCAGTGCTGTAGATTATTGTGATAAACATTTCGAGAATATTATTGTCTGTGGCGATCTGAATATCGATAATTTATTGGGAGTCAAAAAACAAGACTTCTCAATGACTTGCTCCAAACTTTCAACTTAGCTGGTAAAAATATTGAACCGACAAGAATTTTCACTAATTCAGACGGAAGAACGAGTATTTCAAAAATTGATTACTTTTTAAGAAATATGTCCCAAATACTGTATTTGGAGTATGGAGAATGTAAGTCTAGCAGATCACTTGTGTTCGTGTTTTGAAACTGTCTCAACTCCTAGAGAAAATAGATATAAACACTTTAGCTACATGAATACAAACTTCGAAAATCTTTGTAGGCTTCAAACCATTCCAAATAATAAAAATTTCCAATCTGTTTATGATAATTTTTATAATAGTCACTAAGTCTTTGAGACTTCTGAATTTACTCTAATATTTGATAGGTGAATAATGGAAATTTCCAATCTGTCTATGATAATTTTTATAATAGTCACTGAGCCTATGAGACTTCTGAATTTACTCTAATATTGGATAGGTTTGACATGTGCAGTTGTGTAGAACAAAACATTTGCGAAAGAAAGCCATGCGAGCTACGAAGGAAATTATTCATATGGGAGATAACTTACGTGATCTCTTTTGGTTAACAAAAAAATTAAAGGATTCAGATCTGAGGTAGTATAACAATGAATCAAAAAAATATACGCAAAAATGTTACATGAAACCAGGTATTCATTTTATCAGGGTTGTCTTGAAAAAAAAATTCATTATGAAAAGCAGAAAGACATATGGAGCATGCATGGTAAGAATTGAAACAGGAAAAGGTAAGGAAATAATAATCCGTGAGTTACTGATAGATGATATACTTGTCTGCGATAAAAATATGCTAACAGTTTTTTCACCTATTTTCCAATTAGAGATGGAAAAACTATATATAAACATTTTGGGCCAACGTCTTTCAGTAGCTATACAACAATGCATGGAAGTCACACTTTCTAATTCTCCTGTGTACACTCAAGTGATTTAAGCAGTGTTGCCAATGGATGACAATGAAAAGATCCTCTTCTGGACTCGAAATTATCCGATTTGTTGAAAACAATCAAAAATAGTAAATCAATACTATATATTCAGGTTATTTCATATTTATTTATATAAAAAAAGGAACATTTTACAGAAAATACTCTCATTCAAACTAAAAAATCTTTGGTATCATTGAAATACACTAAAAAAA